GTGTGCCTTCACTTCCAAAGAGTATTAATATAGCAAATAAAACTGCCAAACTTTACTACTAATGTATTCCAAAAACATTCCCAGACAAACCTGAGATACAGAAAATGTCACAACTCTGCTGAGTCGTAGGAGTGTTGTGAACCGCGACGGTTGGGTTTTACCTGAACGTTATAAACATCCGACTCAACAAAGGCAGGTTTTACATTCTGACACATTCCTTAAATCTTCACAGGTTTGTTTAAAACGCCGTCCTCGGTGGTGGTGGCTGAGTGGGATCACAGCTGTTAGCTTAAGCTTCTGGTATTAGCAGAGCTTATCACTGAGGAATGTCCTTATGCAAACACGGAGATCCCATACTACTTACTATAAATGAGAATCGGCCAAAGACTCAACTCCACACACCAGAGCTCTGCTTGCTTCCACTTGTCTAATGGGAGGGGTGCAATCTTTGCCCCCAGAGAAGTCCGTAATCCAGAGCCACACCCAATAAAACTCTCTCCTTGGATATAATAAGTTAAAGAGGCAGCCAGAGAAAGTGTTATGAGCCCATAAATGTCCTCACAGCTTTATTATGCCAATAACTTCTGAAGTGACTAAAGATTTTGCTAAAATAATAATAAAAAATACGACTAATGCATTAATGTGGACATTATGTACCACTGCAGCCTCAGATCCAGATTTTGAAATTGTGTGAATTAAATCCCATTTTTCCTATAATCTAGAGAATTAAGTGAATAATGACTTCCTAAAGAGGGTGAAGCTGCTTTTAGTTACTATGCAGCACAGAGACGGAACCAGCTCCAATACTGCACATTCTGCACTGTAACAGCTCACCCTTTAACTTTGTCTTTTAAAATTTTAAATCTAAATTGTGTTCATGTGTATTTTAATTGTGCAGTCATGTTGATTTTATTATTAATATTTTTGCTAATCGCAATGCACACCTTTACTAGAGACGACATTTTCCTACATCCAGCTTGTACGTTTCTCAAATTTATCATCCCAACTGAATGGAAAGACAAACTGTATATACTAATATTTACTTTCCCAGTTTCCACAAAGCAAATAAAAAAAGTTTACAAGAAATTACCTCTATAGAGTACCGTCTTTTACATTTCCAAATCTCTGGGACTTAAAGGTCCCAACGAGGTCCATAAACTTCTTTTTTTTTTACATTATTTAAAAACCAAAACATTAAGATTTTTTGGCAACAGCGCTCATTGGGTCACAATGATGGCATTAAGACTGTTGACTACATCACTGACAAATCCATTCAAGGACAGGTATCCATGCAGAGTCAGCGCTGCTGTCATGGTGCAGACAAAAGTCCAAGGGACCAATCACATCTATGCATAGATTATTTTGTGCACACACTTTCAAAGCAGAGTATAAGACGGGGGTCGGCAATCCGCGGCTCTTCCGTCCATCTGATGCGGCTCTCTGTGCTTGTAAAATAATGAATGGATATTTAAATAAAAAGCTTTATATTTTACTGCATTAATTTTACATCTGTATGCCAATTCTAAATGTAAAGATTGTCTGCGTAAACCTGAACAGGTCCAACCCGGTCTTACTGTGAGACCGGGTTGACGCGTCACGCTTGTGCGTAATCATATATGCGCTTTCTGAGCTGACGAGGATGTGAGATTCTGGGATTCTCCTCAGATGCCACATTGGAGACAGGAACAAGCACAATTCAGCCAAAGTTTCATAATCAAGGAACATTTTCTAAGTGACAAGTCTCTCTGAGAGACCGGGTTTGGAAAACTCTTGCTTCAGTGGAAGGAACCTTCCCGCATGCGCTCTGGTTCTGCGACGCGCTCCAAGCCCCTCTCCACATCTTCAGCTCGCTGTGGACCGTACGTACGCGCTGACAGTGAGCTGCGCTGAGCAGTGTCCAGCTCAGATGTTCAGATGGGAATCTCTTCTTGGGTGATTTAGCTACATCTGCGATGTGCGTAGAATAAAGTGTCAGTTCATCTGCATGTGTCGGGGTAATTCTTTCTATTCTTTCTCCGTCAAAATAAACGGTCAAATACGGGAACTGTCCGGTCAACACAAGCCCTGCTTTTAACTGTTCTGTTTTCTTGTGAAAATTGTTGCAAAGAGATATAATTTAACTTGATTAACACCAGAGCCAGACGCACTGCGCCGTTATCTCCGTCGCTGTAAATGAGGGAAAAACAAAATGATCGGATCCTTTTCTGACCTTCCCCACCTACAAAGTTTAATTACAACAATCAAACGTGACAGAGCCTGGATTTGTGTTCTGAACAGTCTAAACATGTTTTAAAAAGAAACGTATGACAAAAGTGGCACCTGCTCAGTAAAACCACCAACAGGGTGAAAAATATCAAAATATTGTAGGCAGAGACGGGCTACAGCTTCTGGATCCACTTTATATAAATCGTTTTATTGATTATCTTCTTAAGAAAGATAGCTTTGATGTACACGAGCGACCGGTACTGGCTGCTGTCACCTGTTGTGATCGGTTAAAGCAGCTCTCTGCTGTCTGAGGGTAGGCCCCGCCCACAACGCCGCGGCTGCTGTGGCTCCCAGTGTTTTCTTTACTGTGGGAAACGGGTAATAATGGCTCTTTGATGGGAACAGGTTGCCGACCCCTGGTATAAGAGAAGCTACTGACCCAAGACCAAGGTCAGCTCAACCCATTTCACCTTCAGCTTGTGCACCTGTGTGGCTCAACCTGGGTGTGAACCTTTAGACTAATGCTCCAAACATCCTGAGATCTACATTTTTACCTGGAACACCACGTTCTTTTATTTGTTGGCTTAGGGTAAACCAGTGCTACGATGAGCTGCTGTGCCTGTTGGTGACAAACTGTTAACGGGAATCATGAGGAAGTTTCCAAAATGTCTCAAAACAAGGGCTCTAAATTCCCTATGAGCAGTGCGGCCCAGAGCTTTGGTTACTGAAATTTTGAACACATTAAAAAGATTTACACAACATTTCCCCTTAAAATAATCACAGAATTGTCTCAGACATCTGGAACTGCCATCAAATCATTATTAATTTAGTTTTCACTGGTCAAAAAGTGCGATAAATGTCACACATCACTGGGAAGGGATGGTGACCAAATTAAAAAAAAAGGAAACATAATAAAAATATTTTGTAAATAAAAAAACGAAAACAATATCTTGCATGCCCCACAATGTCCCGGCCATCAAACCGAGCCGTCACAATTGTGTCCAGCAATCACATCTGTGTAATTCCAACCAAAATTTACATATTTTCTCACAATTCTGTATCTCCAAAATGTCACATCTAGGGTTGTCACGGTGTGAAAATTTAACCGCACGGTTATTGTGACTAAAATTATCACGGTTCTCTGTATTATCGCGGTATTTTTTTTAACGTGTTACACTTTCAGACAACTAAATAAACCCTCACAGAGACATTATTTGAACCAAACTGATGCACCAATTCTGGATTTTTGTTCTTTTACATGCAGACGGCCTGCCGATCCTGATTTTGTATCATTTTAAATAATCTCAAATATATATTTATTTCTCTGATTAAGTAAAAAAATATCTCTGGATGAGAAAACAAACGCACTGGAGTTCTGCTCTTGCGAACATACATTAGCACTCCGCAGTGATGAGTAAATGGACTGGGAAGACTATAGATTTCTTCATTAATGATTGGAAATGGTGCTTTTTTGGACAACGACCACCCACCAGGCTGAATGGACCCTGTGTACGACAGCAAACGCTAGTTCAGCTTGATGAACTCTGGACAGCCGTTGTACTTCCTGTTCCCCTTCACAGAACTGTACTTTTCCAGATCCCTTGGGAATTTGCTGAAATTTTCAGTCTATTGTCGACACTTTTTCATCTGCTCCACAAACCTATTTATTTTACTTATTAAAGACACATGCAATCAAGAAAAGGGATTCAAATAGTACATATCCAAGTATGTGCACTATGAATGTGAGTACACAACGTGGCTGTGCTAACTAGTGCATACTTGACTAAAGGGGGCATGGCAAACACGTTATTATATTACTATTATTAAATGGTAACTACAGTATTATTTGCTACCTGGACCCTACTTCTACTATGCAATGCGTTCATTTACTCACCCAGAGAACTTTGGTGTTATTTGGAGTCAGAAATATCCATCTACGATCAGCCTGTGTCTATAATGGGAGTTGTTGTGGCAGCATCGCAGCCTCTAAATAAGACATCTGCAACTTAAGTCCTTCACTTCACCAATGATTTGGTGTGAATCACTAGCAATATTCCTCTGTTAATTTGGAGCGTCTCGGAGGTGCTTTGCTGTTATTATTCAGGGTTCTTTACAGGCGTTTATTGAAACCAGCCAGCAGATATTTCAGTGACATAATTTTTTCTAGCTGGAAATAACTAATGCATTATTCTGTTCAGAACCCAGAAATGAGCATTTTTTTCCAAGCGCAGGGTCCATACCGGCTGTTGCCAGATGACTTTTTGTGTGTTTTTACAACACAAAAATCATCGCCCTGGTGTTTAACTGTGTTCTTTAATGCATATTCGTTTTTATATTAAGTAAAACACATTTTGAAAACAAAAAGGGCCAAATACAAAAAGCAAAATGGCATATGTTTTTTTTATAAATGCCCTTTTCAAAGACACATAAGCACTCAATGCTTACCTGTCATCTTCTGGTACTTTACCTTTTAAGGAAAGATTTCCCCAAAGGTGTTCAGCAGACTGCTGAATAATAAAGATCATTTAACACCTTGACTCTTTTTCTTTTCTAATTCTCAATAGTCTGAATTTTTTTAAAGAAACCAGCAACATAAATATTTCCCAGACTTGGCTCTGTGGGTGGAGATAGTGGGTGTGGTGAGGTATAATTGTTGAACTAGTCTTGGTTTAAACAAGTTTCCATTGGTATTGGCAGGACGTATCCCTGCAAACAGCTACTGGGGCGCTTCCAATAACCAGTGGGTCATCAGAGATAACAAACACAATCTAAAGAAGTTAAATAGACTCTCTTACCCAACAACTCCTTCAGAGTAGTTCCTGACTTTCCACGGTGTGCCCGTATAACCTTCATATCTATCTGTGTTGGAGCCACAGCCGGTGTTTAAGATGCTGGAATTGAATCCAAAAGTGCTGGCTTTATTGACTCTTTTCCTTTTGTTGGGGTGTCCCTCCGTGAGTCCCCTCCACTGCACGGGTACCCCGCTGCCCGGCTGCTGTTGCCCCACTCCGCCGACACCGCCCCTGCCTGTGGCTCGGTTGTTATGGTTGCTGTCTAGTGGTATAAAGTCTCGCTGATGCGTTCCTTCCCCGTCCTCGATTGAAGCAGACATCCCCTGAGTCTTGAAATCTCCAAAACCCGCGTGGAACTTAAGTGTCCCGTTTTTACAGCTGAGGACGGCTCCCGGCGCCCCGTTGGCGATCGCTTTGACGCTCGGCGTGGTCTGAGCTCTGGTGGTGTAACTGTTATTTACGTGCAAATACCCGAATCCTTGTGTCGTCTCCCAGATCTGCATCCACAGGTTGTTAGCTGGTCCACGTTGTTCTGGTTGAAACCAGGCGATTCTAGGATCCATCAAACGACACTACAGGCAATATGCCCCCCCCCACCCCCACCACCACCACCGAGCAACGCTCAGCTCCCGTGAAGCTAGCTATCGTTAGCTAGCCAGTTTTAGCTTCGTTACCACTGCTGCTAGCTCAGATTCTCCTGTTACTCCTAAATTACGGTAAAAAAAAAATACTGGGGCAACAACGGTACACGCAGTTCTCGACGACCAATCTCATCCGCAAAAACTATAAGACCCGAGTGCGCGTCAGATAATTAAAAACCCTTATCCGAAGCCAAACTTCGCCGTAGAAAGCTGTACAAACGTGCGAGGATTAGTATCTCTGACCCTTACCCTACTGCTGCGGCTGCGCAGCGTGAGAGAAGGGGGCGGAGTCGAGGCTGTTACGCAACCGACGCTTGAGTTTTTGGTTACGTAAATCAGATTTTTTTTTAACCTTTGAACAGAATTAGTTGAAAACTGGTCAAACACGGAGGTTTATTTTTAACTTTTTTAACAAAAACATTGTTTTTATATTAATGATGCTTACTCTTTTTAGTTCAGTAAACTAAACGTCAAAAAACCAAAATTATTAGATACCTCTTTTTCTTTTATGTATTAATACACCATGTCAGCATATAGCTTAAGAATTGCTTGGATTTTTCTCAATAATTTTAAGTATGATCTTTACATGAAGGTTTAATTTGAAGTAATTTATAGATTTGAGCATTAATCCCACATGCTCCTGAGACCCACTACACTGTCGGGATTGTAATTAGATTTCTTCATTGTAATAATTTATTCTATCAACTCACTTGCTTAAAGAGCAAGTCACCCCCAAATCAACTTTTTTCTGATAAACTATATAAATGTGTGTCTAATCGTGCTGCAGACACGTGTAGTTAATAGTTTTGCACTTCAGTGCTTTTTAGTTAAATTTTTAATTTTCTGCCTAAAACTTTCAGTGTTGTGCCGTTGTCAGGTAAAAACTCTGCACTGCATTAGAATTTAAATCTGCCACCGCTATTGGCTAAGAGGTATGCTATGATGTAAACTGGTCCTTATGTCACAATGCCATTGTGAGCCTGTGTGTGTGTGTGTGTGTGTGTGTGTGTGTGTGTGTGTGTGTGTGTGTGTGTGTGTGTGTGTGTGTGTGTGTGTGTGTGTGTGTGTGTGTGTGTGTGTGTGTGTGGACCCTTTTACTACCTACGTCATCAAAAGTTGCGCGCGCAGCCTGGCAACGAGAGTGAAGGCTTCCTCATTCACACTCAATACTAAAACAGCGTTTTAAACCCTTTGTTTTGAAGTTCTGAGCACATAAAAATGTCGGGTTGTTGCGTGTATGGATGCCAGAATCGCTTCTCTTCAAGCAGTGGACTGAAACTTTACAGAATTCCGAAGTTCTACCTTTTTCCTGCTCAGGTCTTTCCATGCACATGCCTGAGATGTAACTGCAGCCTTTTCTGTTTTTCCCATCCTAACACAAAGCTCAACTTTGAATAAAATTGCTGCTGCGTGGCTGCAGCATGACCCAAGTCTGGAACATCAAAATGACAGAATTAAACAAATTTATACACTTTATTTCATGCTTCAAATTAACATTTCATTCTAATTCATCTGTATTTTCCCACTGCATATTAGTATAAACTGTATTTCTCTAAAATTAACACGACTGTACTCTGAGCACGCCAAAAAAAGAAACCTATACTATACTCAGCCTGCCATGCAGGTACAGTTGGCTGTGAAGACATAGTTCTCTGGTTTGTTTACTACGACCCAAGCCTCGTACGTAGCAGTCTTGTGTCCTTGTCTTTGGCTAGGAAGGACTTCTGCCTTCAAGACGCAAAACTCAGAGTCTATGTGGTGATATTTCACTTTCTGTACGTGGCCACAGACAACATAGTTGTATGCATTTAACGATTTGTATGCCCGTAGCTTCTCACGTGTGTACTTACTGGGCCTCTCCACTAAAAACGTATATATATCAGGCCACTGGATATCTGGCCACGCACCTACATCTTCCACCCATTCCGTAATGCCACAGGGATCCGGGAGTCTGTTGCCATTCGTTAAAGTGAGTTTAATGATATAACATTCAAGATTTGCCGTGATAACCCCGCAGCGTAGCTTGATAAAGCCTGAAACAACGCCATTCTCTGTTGCCAAGCTGCGCGCGCATTCTCGCTGACGTCATATTGTTTACAAACAGTAAAAGGGTCTATTCGTTAGCGGCTCCGCCCTCTCGGTCTGCTAGGCAACAGCATTTGTTGTATTTTTCAAACATGAAGAGGGAGGGAAGTAAGTTTCTTGTAGCTCCACTCTCACTTCATGTTTAAAAAAATGCAACAAATGCTGTTGATGAACTATGATGTCAGCTGATACATTATGATGTCACAATGTCGTTGTGAGCCTGTGTGTGTGTATTTGTTAGTGGTTCCACCCTCTCAGTCTGCCAAGCAACAGCATTTGTTACATTTTTCAAACATGAAGTGGGAGTGAAGTAAGTTTCTTGTAGGGGGTGACTTGCTCTTTAAAAATTATGAAAATCATGAAGAAAACATTAATGATGCACAGAAAGACAATTGTGGAAGTTTAAAGAAATCGGGTTTACTTTATAAGAACGTGTGATGACAAGTATATTTTATAACAAAGTTTTATATTCAATATATTTCCTTTCTGAGGATTTCCAGTAAACGTAGTCAGAAACAATAAAAAACGGCTATTCAAAAACACAGCCTATGTACATACATGACTTTATTTCTACAGTAATTTTTGACACCATCTACCTTATTTCACACAGCTGGTTGTATTATATATAACTTCCAGACCAAAAATCAATCAATCTAAACCAGGGGTGTCAAATATACGGCCCGCGGGCCGGATCCGGCCCGCAAACGGGTTAAATCCGGCCCACGAGATGGTTGTGTAACTTTATTTTCATACTTTACAATGTAGAGTGAAAATAAACGTATCTTTGTGAGCAAGTTTTCTCTGTAATGAGTATAACTAAAACAAAGCTGCGCTCAAGACTCACACAAGAACTTGAATCACATCCTGAAGTTGGCCGCCACTCAGGATGTGACTTCTGATGTTGATGTGCTGGTGAAAGCTAAAAGATGTAAAGTAAAATGAGTCAAATATACTTTAGGTGCTGCATGAAACTGATCTAGCCATGTGATCTGTAAGCTCTTTGAATCACCAAGGAATGTTTTTATTTATTTTTTATTCAAATTTTCAAGTACACTTCAGGTGTTGTACTTGTACTATTTTGGATACACTGTCCTCAGGCTCCAGCTTTGTTTTATATTGATTGTATTAAAACAAAGAAAACAATCTGAAGTTGTTTTTAATTTACCGGTCCGGCCCACTTGGGACTAGATTTCCCTCAATGTGGCCCCTGAGCTAAAATGAGTTTGACACCCCTGATCTAAACTTTATTACTACTCCTCCATCATACTGAATAAAAAATAAAGCAAGCCATTCTGTGTCATGTCAAATTATAAAAGAAAGATTTTGAGTTCAATTTCCTTGAGAAAAGGCTCAAAAGGATGAAGTATAAAACAAAAATCCAAACCGATCGCACTTCAGCAGCTGTAACTCAAACCCAAGTGGTTGTAAATTTGATCCAAGGACAGGATGAGCTTTTCCTGCTGAGCATTTTAATTTTTCCTACAAGGATTCCACGTTAACAAGGATTTTAACAGGCATCCAAACATCAACTGTACCAGCGGAAAAGGCCGCCATTAAGCTGAATGTGTTCAAACGAAGCAGATTATCATTTATTTATTATTTCTACAGAAAAATTAGACAAATTTACACTGGCTTCCAGTTCGGTTTCATATTAAGTTCAAAATCCTCCCGTTGGTTTACAAATCTAATCATGAAATGGCCCCCTCTTATTTGGCACATCTTTTGAGCCCCTATGTTCCGGCGCGAGCCCTGAGGTCCTCTGACCAGCACCTTCCGCTTGGCCCTCCTGCCCGCTATATGGCCCCTGGCGAACGGGCTTTTTCAGTTTGTGCGCCTAAACTTTGGAACCAACTCCCCGACGGTCCGACTTGCCCCCTCCCGTCCCACTTTTAAAGCATGTTTAAAGAGCAAGTCACCTCCTACCAGAGTATTACTCCACTCCTGTTTGAAAAATGCAACAAATGCTGTTGCCTAGCAGACCGAGAGGGCGGAGTCGCTAACAAATACATAAACACACATAGGCTCACGACGACATTGTGACATCATATGGTACCAGCTAACGTTCTAGGGTACCTCTTAGCCAATAGCGATGGCAGATTTGAATTCAAATGCAGTGCAGAGTTTTTACCTGACAACGACTCAACACTGACAGTTTTAGGCAGAAAATTACAATTTTAACTAAAATGCACTAAAGTGCAAAACTATTGACGACACGTGTCTGCAGCACGATTAGACACACATTTATATAGTTTATCAGAAACAAAAGTTGATTTATATTTACTAAGACATCACAATATAACTATAGACACATTGCTAGTCTGTCTGTCTGTCTGTCTGTCTGTGCGTGCGTGCGTGTGTGTGTGTGTGTGTGTGTGTCTACTCTGTCTTCTCGATCCCCAGTGAGTCGTGGAGGATGGCTGCTTATACTGAGCCGGGATTCTCTGGAGATTTCTTCCTGTTAAAAGGGAGTTTTCCTCTCCACTGTCGCTTTATGCTTGCTTAGTATGAGGATTGCAATGCAATTTGCTGGGTTCCTTATATAGGAAACATTATTTCTGATTGGCTTAATGAACTGACCTGAAATGGAATGTTTATTATGTGAAGTGCCTTGAGACGACTCTTGTTGTGATTTGGCGCTATATAAATAAACTTGAATTGAATTTGGGGGTGACTTGCTCTTTAAATACATATTTCCATTCCCTGGCCTTCCCGGCTGAGACTTGTTTAACCCTTGTGCTTTCCTGTTTGTTTGATATTATAGTTTTTATTTGTTTTATCTATTTCATGCTGCTGTATCTAGTTTGGTGATGTATTGTTTTGTATAGCACTTTGGGTGGCATGTTCGCCGATTAAATGTGCTTTATAAATAAAGGTTGACGATGATGATGAAAAATGGGCTGTTTTTAATGAAGTCACACTACTTTCACAACAAAAGAGTTGGTAGGATTTTATAAACAATAAAAATATTTGGAAACGATCCTCAAATTAGTTCATGAACTTAATTTTTTTCACTAAAGAAAAACAATTTATTTATTTATTTATTTAACTTTTCCAGCTTTTTATTAGCAGAAAATTCCGATTTTGACAAATACTTTGCTGCATTTTTGACATGAAACTACTTGTCCTCATTGCCCTCTGGGTGTCCTTTAAAGAGCAAGTCACCCCCAAATCAACTTTTTTCCCTGATAAACTATAGAAATGAGTGTCTAATCATGCTGCAGACACGTGTAGTCAATAGTTTAGCACTTTAGTGCATTTTAGTTAAAATTTTAATTTTCTGCCTAAAACTGTCATTGTGCCGTTGTCAGGTAAAAACTCTGCACTGCATTTGAATTTAAATCTGCCATCGCTATTGGCTAAGAGGTACCCTAGAACGTTAGCTGGTACCATATGATGTCACAATGTTGTTGTGAGCCTGTGTGTGTCTGCATTTGTTAGCGGCTCCGCCCTCTCGGTCTGCTAGGCAACAGCATTTGTCAAACAGGAAGTGGGAGTGGAGTAATACTCTGGTAGGGGGTAACTTGCTTTTTAAGCACCCCCCCCCCCCCCCCCCCCGAGTTTTTTAACAAAATTTTAAGAGAAATTTAATATATGGGATATTCTGACCACCTAAATAAGCACAGTATTTATCATGAACCACTTTCTATGAAATGTAAACACAAAACAATATTTGTACCTCTGGAATTAAACGAAATAACGAGATCGCGGATACAAGCGGCCGAAATGAGTTTCCTCCGTAGGGTGGCCGGGCTCTAAGAGATAGGGTGAGGAGCTTGGACATTCGGGAGGGACTCGGAGTAGAACCGCTGCTCCTCCGGATCGAAAGGAGTCAGTTGAGGTGGTTTGGGCATCTGGTCAGGATGCCTCCTGGACGCCTCCCTGGGGAGGTGCTTCGGGCATGTCCTGCCGGCAGGAGGCCCCCGGGTCGACCCAGGACACGTTTGAGAGGTTACATCTCCAATCTGGTCCGGGAACGCCTTGGGGTCCTGCCGGAGGAGCTGGTGGAGGTGGCCGGGGAGAGGATGGTCTGGAGCTCCCTGGTTGGGATGCTGCCCCGGCGACCCGGACCCGGATAAGCGGAGGAAGACGAAGATGAAGGAATTAAATGAAATTCTTAAATATTTTTATTATTATTGGCACACAACAGCCAGCATGTTCGCCTCTTTTAAGACAAATAACTTGTTTTCAGTCAGTGAATCATTTTAAAGCCCAACAACAAAACCCGTCTGTATTCAGTGAGCGGGGTTTTTACCTGTGAAGGGGGAGGAGCTACAATCTGCTCACCTGATTTCTTAAAACTCTTTAGTTTTATTTAAAATATTTACAAATATTTTTACCTAGAAAAAACCCAAATCCAGCCTTTTTTTTACTTCAACTGTAAATCATAATTTAAAGTAAAAAAACAAATAATTGAGCGATGGCCGTCCTCATTTCTTCACCACCTTCTCCAGGTAACTGATGAATCTCCTCAGGTTGGTTTTGATGTTGTCCAGCACACACAGCTGCTGCGGGCCGCATTTACCTCGTCCTTCTTTACGGATCTAGGAAAAGGGAACAAAAGGTCGTTCATCAAACATCAACAAAAAGAACACAGAGCATTAATCTCTACCTTGGCCTTGAAGACGGGCTGAAGAGCCTTAAGAGCAGGAAGTAAACCGATGTTTCTAGCAGCTAGCTCCGCCTCCTCTCCATCCGCAAACACGTCAAACAACGCGTCGAGGGCTTCTCCGTTCACTACCAGGTCTGCATCCTTGGTGGCGACTTGAAGTAAAGCGTTTCCGATCATCTGGAGGGGGAGAGCGTGTTCTCAGAGGAGGAACAAACGCTGAGGAGGAGGAGCAGAGAGGAGCGATACCTGAAGGAAGTCCGCCGTGTTCTTCTCCTTGGCTAAAGTGCTGCCAGTGATGCCCAGAATGGAGACGGCGTTGACCCTGACGCTGATGACTTCACAGCGGGTGGCGGCTTCGCTCAGCCTCATCAGCTGCTGCGGGGTCATACACTAACACAAAAGTAAAACGCACTGAGTATAAACGGGACTTGATAGTCAGGTGATACAGGTGCGGCGTACCTGAGGGATGTTTTTGGAGGCAATCATCTGTAACAGCGACCTCATGGCGCTGATCACAGCCTCCAGAAACTCCACATCTTTGGGAATGTCTGAATCAGAGGAAAAATTATTTCATTTACGAGTTTTTTTGAGTTTAGTTTAAGATCAATTAGAAAACGAGGCGAGACCTTCGGCGCCGAAGACCAGCGAGGACAGGTGCTGCGCTGCTTCCTGCAGGGCCGTCGCTCCGCCCAGAGATTCTGCATCCATGGTGGAGAGGATGCTGTGGAGGCAGGTCAGCGCCCGCGACTGAACGCGCTGCATCCTAAACACCACCAGTCTTTATTAGAGGCTGTTCAAAGCGCAGCAGCTGCACAGGAGACTGATGCAGATAAATGCTGCCTTTTTTATTTTTATGCCTTTATTTAAACTAAACTGAGGCACAGAAATACATGCAAACTAAAATCCTCTCATAATTGTCTTTTAATAACTAGGAAATCAAACCCTGTGTGGGTTAATAATTATAAGATGACAGCGTGGCCTAGATCCGGGTCCTGTTGCTGATAATGAACTCATACGAACAATAAATTCACAATAAAGCAGTTTGTTTTTAATTAAAGAGCAAGTCACCCCCTACCAGAAACTAACTCCACTCCCACTTCATGTTTGAAAAAGGCAACAAATGCTGTTGCCTAGCAGACAGAGAGGGCGGAGCCGCTAACAAATAAACAGACACACAGGCTCACAACGACAATGTGACATCATATGGTACCAGCTAACATTCTAGGGTACCTCTTAGCCAATAGCGATGGCAGATTTATATTCTAATGATGACGGTGCAACACTGACAGTTTTACAGGGTATCTGCGGGTTTAAGGGAGCCAAATTTAAGACTAGCGCCTTCCAGAGTCCTGGAACCCCCCAAGGCGCTTTACAACAAAACCAGTCATTCATCCATTCACACACACATTCACACACTGGTGGGGATGAGCTACGATGTAGCCACAGCTGCCCTGGGGCGCACTGACAGAGGCGAGGCTGCCGAGCACTGGCGCTACCGGTCCCTCCGACCACCACCAGCAGGCAACGTGGGTTAAGTGTCTTGCCCAAAGACACAACGACAGCGACAGACTGAGCGGGGCTCGAACCTGCAACCTTCTGATTATGGGGCGAGCACTTAACTCCTGTGCCACCGTCGCCCCACTTTGACCAAATTTAAGCTACTTTAAAAAATTAAATTTAAGCTATAATTTCCAGCTATTGCCTGGAACCGGTGCTAACCACGTCGCGAACATGGGATTAGCCATCCAATTACCATTAAGCTTGCACTTCCCCATGGCGCACGCTCCCACTAGCTTAATTGGCTAATGTGCTCATTTAAAATAGCCCCTTTCACAACCAACTGAATGTGTACGGTTCCGCTTACGCCAACATCGTACACAAAAAAAGCTGAACGCTAACTAGAAATTCACAAAAATTTTATAGAAATAGAATCTTGTTTATTGGGTCTTTGGTCATTTAAAAGCTAATTTAAGACTTTTTAAGGACCCGCGGATACCCTGATTTTAGGTAGAATATTTAAATTTGAACTAAAATGCACTAAAGTGTTAAATTATTGACTGCATATGTTTACAGCACGATTAGACACTCATTTATATAGTTTTATCAGTAAAAAAAGTTGATTTGGGGGTGACTTGCTCTTTAAAATGTCCGTATTTTGGTTCACGTGTTCTTTTGACTTTCAGATTTTGGCTCGTACCTCCACAAGTTTGGACTTTGTTAGACAAAAATGTGTCGGCTGAAAATGGACGCTTTTTTTTTGGTTCCATGGTGACGTATTACCTCTTTGTCAGGCCTCTCCAGCAGGGATCCGGGTGACAAACACTCAGTGCTTCCTGTCTGGGGAAATTTGTCTTTTTGAGAACCTTGAATAAGGAGAAAAAATAAAAAAATCAGACACACGTTTCCAGGAAACGGTGAGGTTAGTGATTTTTATTCCGGGTATGTGGTGCCGAGGGCTGGGAGGGCTTCTGTTTGCCTTTTCTGGTATGCTGTGCTTGATCAAAGCTCCTTGAACCTCAGCTGACAGGCAGAGCGGAGACATCAGACTAGACAGTCCGTCACAGAGGGCGTCGGGCCCCGTGTCGCTCTCGTCGCTGCTCGACTCCTCCTCCCACTCGTCGTCAGAAGGGTCTTTTAATGACACAGATAGAGAAGTGTTCAGCTCGTTTCTGCGTACCCAAACAAACTCTGCTGGTGAGTTTTGTGCTGCAGCGGCTCTTTTGAAGTGACTAGCACATTTGTGGTGGCCGTGTGTGTCACAGGGAATGAAAGCTGATGGGGAGGAGCCCGGGGTCAACACTGCTGTCCGTGGCCCCCAACACTCACCGTCAGAGCAGCACATGTTGACAATGATCTCTAAGGACGTTTGCTGGGCCGTCAGCAAGGCCGTTGCCTCCCTCAGCTCCTCCTTACCCCTCTGGACGGACACACACACACACACACACACACACACACACACACACACACACACACACACACACACACACCACGGGAGTCAGAACCCTAATAAAACAATGACTTTGAGCACAATTATCGCACTCGTTTGTGTCGGCTCGACGTGCAAAAGCATTTTTCCTGCTGAAGCTCGTGTTTTTAAGGCGGGATCGTAATTTCAGCTCGAATCTCCTCGTCACAGCTGGATAACTAATTTATAACGGTGCAACACACAGCGTCGTTTAGAGGGGAACTTTCAAACGTCAACACGCTGCCGGGGACAGGTTCTGTCTCGCCGGGTCAAGTCTGGGGAACGTCAGCGCGGGCCACGCCTCAAACACAACAGCCTGACCGCGCGCCAGCCTGGCTTTGCGCTTCCCGGGTGACTCACAAATCGCCTTTTCACCTGAACGCTTTCAGAGTCCAGACGTGGACAACGCCCTCCTCACATAAACACGAGTCAGACTTCAGAATCCAAACCGAAGGAAATCCGAGTCCTGTTAGGGACGCTGTTACCAAAAACTCTGGTGCAGATATTTCTCCATGTTTGGAAACATATTTGCGCATCATAAACTGACAGGAAACGACTTTACATGTCCCTTTTTCTATTTCAGTGAGGGTAAAATGTGTAGAAAAAGTGGATTAAATCACCTCAACAAGGAATTTAAACGCTTACATTTGAACTCTGGAGGGAAAACTGGAGTTTTCTGATTAGTTTTACAGCATAAGGTCAGTTTACTGGACATGTACAGTGGGGCAAAAAAGTATTTAGTCAGCCACCGATTGTGCAAGTTCACAGAGGTCAGTAATTTTTCATCATAGGTACACTTCAACTGTGAGAGACAGAATGTGAAAAAAAAATCCATGAATTCACATGGCAGGATTTTTAAAGAATTTATTTGTAAATCAGGGTGGAAAATAAGTATTTGGTCAATAACAAAAATTCAACTCAATACTTTGTAACATAACCTTTGCTGGCAATAACAGAGGTCAAACGGTTACTATAGGTCTTTACCAGCTTTGCACACACAGTAGCTGGTATTTTGGCCCATTCCTCCATGCAGATCTTCTCGAGAGCAGTGATGTTTTGGGGCTGTCGCCGAGCAACACGGACTTTCAACTTCCTCCACAGATGTTCTATGGAGTTGAGGTCTGGAGACTGGCTAGGCCACTCCGGGACTTTCAAATGCTTCTTACGGAGCCACTCCTTTGTTGCCCGGGTGGTGTGTTTGGGATCATTGTCGTGTTGGAAGACCCAGCCACGTTTCATCTTCAAAGCTCTCACTGATGGAAGGAGGTTTTGGCTCAGAATCTCACGATACATGGCCCCATTCATTCTGTCCTCAACACGGATCAGTCGTCCTGTCCCCTTAGCAGAAAAACAGCCCCAAAGCATGATGTTCCCACCCCCATGCTTCACAGTAGGTATGGTGTTCTTGGGATGCAACTCAGTATTCTTCTTCCTCCAAACACGACGAGTTGAGTTTATACCAAAAAGTTCTACTTTGGTTTCATCTGACCACATGACATTCTCCCAATCCTCTGCTGTATCATCCATGGGCTCTCAGGCAAACTTCAGACGGGCCTGGACATGCACTGGCTTCAGCAGCGGAACACGTCTGGCACTGCAGGATTTGATTCCCTGCCGTTGTAGTGTGTTACTGATGGTGACCTTTGTTACTGTGGTCCCAGCTCTCTGCAGGTCATTCACCAGGTCTCCCCGTGTGGTTCTGGGATTCTTGCTCACCGTTCTCATGATCATTTTGACCCCACGGGATGAGATCTTGCGTGGAGCCCCAGATCGAGGGAGATTATCAGTGGTCTTGTATGTCTTCCATTTTCTGATAATTGCTCCCACAGTTGATTTTTTCACACCAAGCTGCTTGCCTATTGTAGATTCACTCTTCCCAGTCTGGTGCAGGTCTACAATTCTTTTCCTGGTGTCCTTCGAAAGCTCTTTGGTCTTGGCCATAGTGGAGTTTGGAGTCTGACTGTTTGAGGCTGTGGACAGGTGTCTTTTATACAGATAATGAGTTCAAACAGGTGCCATTAATACAGGTAACGAGTGGAGGACAGAAAAGCTTCTTAAAGAAGACGTTACAGGTCTGTGAGAGCCAGAGATTTTCCTTGTTTGAAGTGACCAAATACTTATTTTCCACCCTGATTTACTAATAAATTCTTTAAAAATCCTGTCATGTGAATTCATGGATTTTTTTTTCACATTCTGTCTCTCACAGTTGAAGTGTACCTATGATGTAAATTACTGACCTCTGTCATCATTTTAAGTGGGAGAACTTGCACAATCGGTGGCTGACTAAATACTTTTTTGCCCCACTGTAGAAGAATGACAGATTCAATCTGAGGCCAGTTTCTCTCCATAAAGAAAGAGACTTTAATGATCTACTCAAACCCTGAGGCAACGGATCAGATGAGTAAAACCAGGGGTAAATATCCGTAGCTGTTAAGTGTGAGAAGACTGGCGTGTGTTGGACTGGTTGTCATCGTCCCACTTACAGGAAGCAGGTCAGAGAAGTCAGTGTCGATCTTCACAGTTTTCCCATTCCCAGCCTTTTTCGGCCCTTCATTCTCCTCTTCATCCATCTCCTCCTCAGCGAGATCTCCTGCCACCTGTTCCTTCACATCTGGAACAGCATCTCTCCGATTGGCCTCCTCTGCCCGTCGGAGTTCTGGGATCAGCACGCCGGCATCCAGGTCCAGACACCGAGACAGGGTGGCCACCACGGCGTCGAGGGTCTGGGACTGACGGGCCGCAGGGATGCTGTTCTTCATGTTCCACAGAGTCCCTGAAAGCCGACGCGGGGGCAGCTGTGAGGCTCAGAGGTCATAAACTCATCAGTCCTGCTGAGAAAAGACCACCCGTACCTGCGGCCAACGCCCTAAGGAGAGCGCGCGCCATGTCCGGCTGAGTCGACAGCAGCACGTTCTCCAGGGCGCCGAGCACGGCGGCGTTGGCGCTCCGCAGCAGCTCCGGGTTGTCCTCCGTCACCGTGTGCAGACAGTGAGCTGGGAAACATCAGACACGGAAGTTTGACCCGTCTGACTCAGACGCCAAACCGAATGAAAACGTCTTCATTTAAAACATTTCATCCACGTTTACAGCCAACAGACGTTTGTGATGCACTGCAACAAATTTCCATGTCAGGTAGACAACACGAGTTACTAATTTCTGATTTAACATGAAATTTCTCCTTCAAATCTCCAGAAATTGACAGTTTTTCTACATTTTCAAGGCAAACTGCAGCACTATCAGACACTTTGCTCACCTTCTGTTCTTTTAACTAGAAGGGAGCAAAAACAGAAAAGCCGACTCGGGTAAAATCCCGGTACCTCAAACAACCCCACGTTCACGCTGCCCCTCTGAGCCAAACGCACTCCCGGGATTCAGAAGTAACTCCTCCACATCACCCCGCTTCTCCTCCAGCATCACTGGCTGCCAGTCAACTTCAGGGTTCATTTCAAGATCCTGGTTCTGGTCTATAGGGCCTTACATGGACAAGCACCACCTTACATTGGTGATCTTCTTAGTCCCTACACCCCCAGCAGGTCCCTGAGGTCCAGTGATCAAAGCCTACTGGTTGTGCAGCACCAGGCTAAAGGTCAAAGGTGACAGATCATCTGCTGCTGTGGCCCCCAGACTCTGGAACTCTCTCCCCCTGAGCCTGAGATCAGTGGACTCAGTGGTCTCCTTTAAAAAGCAGCTGAAGACTCACCTGTTCAAGCTGGCTTTTGTATGACCTTCTTCACCTGTCTCTCTTTATTCTGCTCTCCCCACCTATTCCACCTTCCTCAGGTTCCACTGACTTCCCTCTTTCCTGTTCACTCTCTCTCTCTCTTAACATTTTTTAATCACAATTGCCTATTTTTGCTCATTTTAAATATATTTTCTAAATGCTTTTTAATATTTTTACATTTTTTGTTTTTGTGAAGCGCCTCGTGATTTTTATCTTGAGAGGCGCTATAGAAATGATATTTTCTTCTTCTTCTCCTAGCTAGCTGGAAATGAAGCGGGGCTCAGGTGGACACACACCGTTCTGTTAAGCTTGGTTTATGCTTGACGCATTCTTTCCGCTTGGTGATGCGGTTCGCGGATGGAACGCCCTTCACAACTTGCAGCGTTTATGGTTCACGCGGCTTGTCTCTGCGGTGAGCCAATATTCTCCCAAACTGTAGGGGGCAGCATGGAGCTCTACGGCATGCATCCAACACTACACCATAGTAGAAGTAGAAATTACTGCTGTTTACAACATGGCATTCCAGCATTTTTTAACAGCGTCCTCGTCTTTTCCGACAGTGCGAGCTATTTCTCTCCAAGAATTATTAACAACATGTTGATCACGGTGATCTCTGAGAGCTGAATCATACAAATGTCTGTATTTACCAACCTCTGCCATACTAGTTCTTGCCGGTCCACCATGTTTTTCCGCATCCGACCGTCCGCGTGGTTAGAAAATTTCCTAGGTGCGCGGTGCGGAAATTTTGGGCCGTGAGGAGGCGCGGTGGAGGGGTGTGGTTGTTAAAATGACGCAACTTTTCCGCGCGGAGCCGTGCGGACCTCGCGGACGCGTCAAGCATAAACCAACCTTTAGCCCCACCCCCAGACATTCTGACCAATCTGAAGATTCTTACATGGTTTGTTTGATTTTTACCTTTCTGTGTGTGAAAACGACTCAAATAACAGGAAAACAGAAGTATTAATGAGATGAATATAATAAAAATCTGTGTTGATGTAAAAAACATCTGCAGCCCAGTGAGATGCAGATGTTTAGCGTTTAAATCAACCAACATCCTCCTGATTTTTTATCTGGACAAGAACAACAAGAGATGATTTCTGTTACGTTTACATCTTTTAGATTCAATAAAGGAATGTTAATTTTCCCAGAGAAAAAGCCTTCAACATGATGAAAGTCTGGAGTTTTTCATGCCGTCTTTTTTTTGGAGAGCCAGCCTCAGTTGTCGTGGTCACGTCTGATCTGGTTGGTAAAATCCAGACATGCAAGTTTGTTTCTACGCTCAGCGCGAGAACTAAATGATCCTGCAGCAAAGTTAATGGTTATTCAGAGTCTGTCCTGTTTGGAAATCCCAGTACCTGGAAAACAATCTGGAAACGACCCAGTGGAATGAGGACGGGCTCACAGACACGCCCCTTTTTCCTGCTACGGTCCAGCAAATGGGCTGAAGTGGAACAAAGGTGAACAAAAGCAGAGCTAACACAAGAGATGCTGCAGGATCACGTCAGTGTCGACCCAAACGAGGTGACGTCTGATGACATGCGTTCTCCTCAGAACACAGAAGGAAAAATGACACAAAACTGCGATTTTTCTCCTACCAGCTGAGATGGCCAGCTCCACGTTGTGAGGATGTCTCTCCAGACACTGGACAACCACGTCAAAAAGACCCGACTTGTTGAACAAAGACAGCGCCTGGCTGCTGCTCTCACTGGGAGGAAAACATTCATATCAAACATGATTTAGTGGTTAATTATAGAAACAATGTGTGGGTGTAAGTAACAGCTGCGTCTGTCAGAGAAATACTTTTGAAACGAGAACTTATCAGAAACACGTTTATGGGCTTAAAGAGCAAGTCACCCCCAAATCAACTTTATTTTCCTGATAAACTATATAAATGTGTGTCTAATCGTGCTGCAGACACGTGTAGTCAATAGTTTTGCACTTTACTGCATTTTAGTTAAAATTTAAATTTTCTGCCTAAAACTATCAGTGTTGTGCCGTCGTCAGGTAAAAACTCTGCACTGCATTTGAACTTAAATCTGCTATTGCTATTGGCTAAGAGGTACCCTAGAACGTTAGCTGGTACCATATGATGCCACAATGTCATTGTGAGCCTGTGTGTGTGTTTGTTAGCGGTTCTGCCCTCTCGGTCTGCTAGGCAACAGCATTTGTTGCATTTTTCCAAACAGGAAATGGGAGTGGAGTAATACTCTGGTAGGGGGTGACTTGCTCTTTAATCATACAGAAAAGTAAAGATAACTTGTTTGATTTCAAATTAGAAAATGCAACCCTTTCTGGAACCTTAGCAGGAGTGGACCCTCATGACATCACCATAAAGAGTTTTAGTGTAAAATTAGTGTACTAATTCCCGGTACCTAGGAATCGATACCGGTACTTAACGGTGCCAATTTTCAATACTTTTGAGTGTTTAATATTTTAATTCTCTTTTATAATTAAATATATATTTTTCTCAATATATAACCATATTTGATAAATATCACAATAAATAACATACAACTGTTTGTATTTTAACATCGTCCTTGTAGTTTTATAAGCTGATGATTAAACTGAAGCAAACATCTTTACTGTGAACTAAATTTACTGTGTATCTTCATTCCTTTTGCCGTCTTTTTTAATTTGATTTTTCCTACTGGGAAGTTAGAATTTCCGAGGAGAAAGCGAACACACCATTAGCTGATAACAACGGTGGCAATGGAAGCTAACATATCAAGCTAACGTTATCTTAAACAGTTTATTTAGCTGCTGGAGCAGATTAAAACGATGATGCCTCACACTTAGATCGTTGTCACTGGTTTCATCTTCACCCAATCACCCGTCGCATTTAGTAAAGTGAAGCCAAACTTTAGAGCAAGTTCATGTTCTTCCAGTCGGAAATTCGGAGTTCCGAGGAGAAAGCGAACGCACCATTAGCGAAACGGAAGCTAACAAATCAAGCTAACGTTATCTTAAACATTTTATTTACCTACCGGAGCAGATTAAGATGAGGATGTCTCACTTAGATCGTTGTCGCTGGTTTCATCATCACCCAGTTACCCATCACATTTAGTGAAGTGAAGCCAAACTTAAGAGCGCGTTCCCTTTCTTCTAGTCAGAATTTCGGATTTCCGAGGAGAAAGTGAACGCACCATTAGCTGAACGGAAGCTAACATATCAAGCTAAGGCTATCTTAAACATTTTATTTACCTACTGGAGCAGATTAAGATGATGATGCCTCACTTAGATCATTGACACTGGTTTCATCATCGCCCAGTTACCCATCACATTTAGTGAAGTGGACCCAAGCTTTAGCGTGCGTTCTTTCTACCATGCTGCTCTGCTTACAACTCGCTCGCAGCGACCGACGACATAACGCTCTTGCGCATGCGCAGATGTCTAGGCAAGTTCTCGTTATGAAGGACGGGTACCGAAACGAGGCGCCGTTTCAAATGACGTGAATCAGTGCTCAGTCAGAACTATGGAATTCGGTCGGTACCTTAAAAAGTACCGAATTCGGTATCCATCGCTAATGTTAAATGGCCTGTATTTGATATAGCGCCTTCTAGATTCCTGGAACCCCCAAGGAATTCACCCATTCACACACACATTCACACACTGGTGGTGATGAGCTACGAGGTAGCCACAGCTGCCCTGGGGCGCACTGACAGAGGCGAGGCTGCCGAGCACAGGCGCCACCGGTCCCTCTGACCACCACCAGCAGGCGATGTGGGTTAAGTCTCTTGCCCAAGGACACAACGACAGCGACAGACTGAGCGGGGCTCGAACCTGCAACCTTCCGATTACAGGGCGAGCACCTAACTCCAGTGCCACCGTCGCCCCACTAAAAAGAAAGGGAACAAACGACGGCCCTGTTTACCAGATATTAAAGCCAAAGCTGACGCACACCACCTGTGCATTCTTGCACTGCAGCAGAGGTCCACAAATGGCCCGCAGGCCACAGTTTGGTGTCCCTCGCTCTACGATATTTCTGTATAAAGGTTATGCACCAAGACAGGTCCAAATATAAGTACTTACAGACATCTACTACTATATTTGATGATGCCACCCCACCAGAATTTCATTTGATCAATCGTGTTAGCTTTAATTCTAGCGGGAATCTAAACGAACTGCCCGGATTTTCTAGGTTGCTTTGGGATCTGTTTGATCTTTACTTAAAGGAAGTGAAGACTTGGCGGCCTTCAGACCTTACCACAGATTCCAGAGGAGGTTCACCGCTTCGTGGGCCACATTCTCCACAGGATTGTTCTGGTCGGTCATCGTCACAACGGCGTTGTCGAAACCAGCACAACACTGAGAAAAACAAGCATCTCCAGTTGTCCGTTATAAGAAAAGAGGGCAGATTTCACTACAAAAACACTTAAATCTTTTATGCCGCCAGGTCTTAACAAAAGGTCAGCGGCGAGTTAGAATTTCACACCGAGTCTATTTCTCCCCCAGCGTGCACGCAGCACTTTTTCATCGAGTCACCGCGGGTGAAGCCTTGGAGCGGCGTCTAATTGCGGGAGATATTTCGGCCTGCTGATGAGGAGGAACTGAAGTGGTGGAGTGAGCTAAAAGCAGCGGCGGAGTCTCACCTCTCTAAGCAGTGCTGTCAGAGGAGTCATCACGTCGTGCTTCACCATGTCCTCGCACACCTCCTGACCTCCACACGCACTCAGATTCCTGCCAGTGAGAAACAGACCCAGACGCACACTCATCATCATCAGTCGCATGGAGGAGACTCGCCATGTTTGTGAGGAGCTGAAACCAACACTAGGAGCAACGTTTCCGTGGTATAAACGGAGGTTTAGAAGGAGTGCTGGGAGAGAAGAGGGTTGGGAGATGATCAGTGATGTAAAAGAGCTCGATATGGTGCAAGAGTCGCTTTAATCATCTAAATTTAATTCTAATTTAATCATCTGTGCCCCAGACAAGCTGGTTCCCAAAGTCAGAGACTCTCTTGGTCAGCTTGCTTCTCACACCAAACCCCCTGTCAGGAATCTACGTGTGACCTTTGACCCAGCTCTCACCCTGGATTCTCATGTCAGTTCTCTTGTTCGCTCTTCCTTCTTCCATCTCAGGAACGTTGCTAAGCTGAGTCCCATTCTGTCTCGCTCTGAACTTGAGACAGTTCTCCACACCTTCATCTCCTCACGCTTAGACTACTGTAACTCTCTTTTCACGTGTCTGAGCAGAACCTCCCTGAACCGTCTACAGGTGGTTCAGAACGCCTGTGCTCGGCTTCTGACCAAGTCCTCCAAACACACCCACATCACCCCGCTTCTCCTCCAGCTTCACTGGCTGCCAGTCAACTTCAGGGTTCATTTCAAGATCCTGGTTCTGGTCTATAGGGCCTTACATGGACAAGCACCATCTTACATTGGTGATCTTCTTAGTCCCTACACCCCCAGCAGGTCCCTGAGGTCCAGTGATCAAAGCTTACTGGTTGTGCAGCACCAGGCTAAAGGTCAAAGGTGACAAATCATTTGCTGCTGTGGCCCCCAGACTCTGGACCTCTCTCCCCCTGAGCCTGAGATCAGTGGACTCAGTGGTCTCCTTTAAAAAGCAGCTGAAGACTCACTTGTTCAAGCTGGCTTTTGTATGACCTTCTTCACCTCTCTCTCTTTATTCTGCTCTCCCACCTATTCCACCTTCCTCAGGATCCACTGATTTCCCTCTTTCCTATTCACTCTCTCTCTTTCTTAACATTTTTTTAATCACAATTGCCTATTTTTGCTCATTTTAATATATTTTTTAACATTTTCTAAATGTTTTTTTATACTTTTACATTTTTTGTTTTTGTGAAGCGCCTCGTGATTTTTATCTTGAGAGGCGCTATAGAAATGATACTTTCTTCTTCTTCTTCTAAATCCAAACACTTATCACGATATAGCCTGACTTTCAGAAGAATGGCGCCCTCTTCTGGGCTACTTCCAAAAATTCTGTACAAATCTCAGTACTGTGCACAAGCCTGCATAAAGTCTTTATAATTTCATGTTAAATACAAAAACTAAACAAGTAAAGACAATAAAGACAATGCAGCTTTATTTATAGCACATATTTAATCCACAGAGGCAACTCAATGTGCTTTCCAGTTAGCAAGAACTTTAAAATCAAAGTGACAGCACAATTAAAATATTACACACCAATCAATTTAGATTTTTAAATTAAAAAGAAAAAAGACAAAGTTTAAGCGTGAGCAGTTACAGTGCAGAAGGTGCAGCATAAGAACATTGGTAACACCTTAGTTTAGGGAACACAAATTAACCATTAATTAGCTGCCAATTAATATGCATATTAGTGGACTACTAAGTCTGAACTAGTCATTATTAAGCACTTATTAAGAGCTTATGCTGTAATTTTAACATTAACAGGCCATAAATTAAGAGTTTTATCATAATAAGCCATTCATAATGATTTGTAGCTGATTAACGCACATGCTAATTAGCTCAAATCAATATGCGGCTTTTTACGAAGTAATTCAGGGGGAACATATTCTTGCCTTTGGGTGGTTAATTAATACTAAACTACTAGTAATTAGGTATGAACAACATCTGACTTTAGAAGGGGGAACATGTTCTAGCTTACAGGTGGTTAATTGTTTGTTGTTTAGGCTCTATTAACATGTGGAGTTTGGTGTTTATTTACATACCAGAACATAATATTTTTGGTTATTAATGCAGAATAATAATTTGCCTTGAATTACTTCTTAAACAGCCACGTATTGATTTGAGCTAATTAGCATGTGAGTTATCAGCAACAAACTAGGGATACAACAATACCACTTTTTTTCCAAACCGATACAATACCGATACTTGGATCTGAGAACTCGCCGATACCGATTACCAATACCGATACTTCTGCCACACAAACAATGCAATGATTTGGAATACAGATTTTATTTTCTTCTCTGCTTTCAACAGGAAAAGACTGTGAGGTAGATAAAAAAGTAAAATATCAGTTAACTTTTACCGATACCGACACTGGTATTGGTATCGGCACCGATACCAGTATCGTATCAGTGCATCCCTACAACAAACTGTTTACTTTCAGTTAACAAACCATTATGAATGGCTTATTTTTGATCAAACTCTTATATTATGGCCTGTTAAGAAGAAGAAGAAAGTATCATTTCTATAGCGCCTCTCAAGATGAAAATCACGAGGCGCTTCACAAAGACAAAAAATGTAAAAATAAAAAAAAGCATTTAGAAAATGTTTAAAAATCTATTTAAAATGAGCAAAAATAGGCAACTGTGATAAAAAAATGTTAAGAAAGAGAGAGAGTGAACAGGAAAGAGGGAAATCAGTGGATCCTGAGGAAGGTGGAATATGTGGGAGAGCAGAATAAAGAGAGAGAGGTGAAGAAGGTCATACAATGACCAATTCCAACCTTAATGTTGGAATTACAGCATTGGTAATAAGCATCTAATGATAGTTTCATAACGACTAATTCAGACTTAGTCCACTAATAAGCATTTGAATTGGCAACAAATTAATGGTTAATTTGTGTTGCCTTAAGTGTAACCAAACATTCATTCACAGGCTGATGAAAACATGAAGGTTTTCAGTTTTGATGTAAAAGTTGCTAAAGTTGGAGCACATTTGAGGTCATGAGGAAGCTGATTCCATCTGTGAGCAGCACAGCAGCTAAAAGCAGCTTCACCCTGTATGGTTCTGACACGGTTCTACCAGCTGACCCAGAGCCCTGCTGGGCGTAGATACAGGAAGGAGATCTGACACGTATGCTGGCCCCATGCCGTTGAGTGACTTATGAACTAGTAGAAGCACTTTGAAATGGATTCTGTAGTTTACTGGTAACCAGTGGTTTAAGAACAGGAGTGATGTGTTCGGTTCTCTTGGTCCTTGTTCAGACTCTAGCAGCAGCGTTCTGAATTGGAACTTTGGCTGAGATTCATGCATTGGCACAAAAGATGGATGCGATCAAGGAGCGAGTGAACGGATCAGCGCGGATTGGGATAGATTAATTTACGCCATTATTGGATTTTGTGAGGTTGAGGACCAGCGGAACTTTAAGTCTCAGAAGAAATTATCTCTGTCTGGCCCCAAAACAATTTCTTATCTGAATCTGGTGCCCTTGAGCCTGTGAGGCTGAAATGAATACCCCCCAAAGAAATGTGAAATGCTGTCGTCGCCATGGCAACTGTCTCCCTATCCCAGCCTGGGTGGGACTGCGAGCTGTGAAGCCCACTGAATCGTTTCCAGGAGTCACTGTGCCCTCTAAACCCAACGACCTCCTCCCCCGTCCAAACGGAGGTGATGAGCGCTGCTTATCGCGGCTGCATGCACTCATGTGTGGAGAGTCCCCAACCCTACCGCCCCACCTAGTGGACACTTATGTTCTGTAATGTCTGAAGTCTGTTGCATTTCTGTCTGAGGTGTTTTTTGCATTGCAAAGCTGCCCTCCCTATGGAGGGTAACTCTGAAGTGCCTTTTTTCCCTCCACCTGAACCAATCCTCATGTAACCCTCTGATCACTATTAAGGTAGCGTGACTCGGGTTGCGAATCACCACAGTCACCAATTCTTGTCATGTGTCTTTGCCTATGTATGTATGTCTGATCTCTGAATTGTGTGTACTGAAACTCTAATTTCCCTCTGGGATTAATAAAGTATCTTTGAATTTGAATTTGAATTGAATTGAATAAGCTGCAGTTTCTTCACAGCTTTTTCGGAAGACCAGTCAAAAAACTGTTGCAATAGTCCAGCCGGCTGGAGATGAACGCATGAATGAGTTTCTCTAGATCTTGTCTGGACATGAGGCCTCTGAGTCCTGCTATTTTATAAAGATTATTGTTCTTTGTGCAGCGCTTTGGTCAGCCTACATGCTGTGTTTAACTGCGCTATATAAATAAAACGGTGTGGTATGATAAAAGGCTGATTTAGGTATAGCCTCGTGACCAGTGAAGCTCAGATCCAAATCAACTAAGCCAAAAAGATTTCCAACCTGGGTCTTTGTCTTTCTTCCTGTGGAGACGAGCAGAGCCGTGTCCAGGACTTTTAAAATGGGGTGACCCATGTGGGGCACTTGTTTATGCATGGGTAGCACCAATGGTTATGCTTATTTATTTATTTTACACAAATCGTTTATTTATTTATTTACTTTCTAGTGAATTTTGGAGTTTCACATTGAACAATCACCATTTTTTTCTATTCATCTTCTAGTTTTGTGGCGGTTAGCAAGTCACTTCTTGTTGCATTATTGCCACCAACTGGCGTTGAGTGGGACTCTAAATACTATTTATATGAATATGAAAAAATAATAAATATTATTAATACTACAAAAATGTTCTGTAGGCCTGGGCTAGAAGACAATGTTAAAGGTGCATGCTACCACACACTATTTTTGGAGTTTACAACTCAAGCCTTTTGTCGACAATGTAAAGACAATTTAAACTGGAACTTAGTAGGGTGGCACCTGGGGTGGCCAATCAGATTCTAAGGGTCGCATGTGCTACACCAGGCCACTCCCTGGACACGCCCCTGGAGACTAATTGAGCACACAGCTTAAAAACTACTGATTCTTTACCTGAGCGCCCCGGCGGCCGTCTCTCTAACAGCCAAGCTGCCATCCAGCAGCAAGGGACCAAGACGCTTCACAGCCCCCCTCTGGAGAAAACCGGGAATGGTCTGGCTCTGCTGCACCACCCTGGAAATGCTGGCACAGGCGAACTCTCGCACATCTGCACTGGGACTCTGCAACTGAAAAGTAAACAAAACAACTCAGAGACACAAAAACTACTAAAATAATGCAGTGGCTGCTTTCCCTATGAGCTGTTTTTGTTGCACAAGGTAAAATTACGGTTGCATTTTGTGTTTCTCATTAAAAACTGTTACTGGTTGTGTACTTTGTTAAGACACACAACGATCCCTCAAGGACATGTACCAGGTTCTTTATTCTTTCTTTGCTTAAACATATGTGTGTCCGAACCAACTTGTGTGTCTGCCGATGACACAACAGCAGCAAGACTCGTCAGAAAACTGGAGGAAACGTCTTACAGATGAGCACTGAGGATCTCTTTGATCAGCTGGAGATGCACTTTCTGGAAGGGCATGTGAAATCCCCCCGTCTGGAAGATGCAATCACTTCTTTCCACTGCAAATAAACTGCTGCTGAACTCTCAGTAGCGTTTACAACATGTTTGATGCTATTCTCATATCATTTGTACATTTATGTTATATGCAGTATAATTACTTTCTATTAGGGATGATTGATATTATCGGTCTGCCAGTAATATCGACCGATATCAAGCTTAAAATTTAATATCTGAAATTTTCGGGATCGGTTTTCGGTCTTTTATTGACTTAATTCTTACAAACCATACCCCTGGTCCTCAGGGTTGCACTTTTAAACACCAGTTTCCCTACTGCTGAAAGAAAGAAAGAAAGAAAGAAAGAAAGAAAGAAAGAAAGAAAGAAAGAAAGAAAGAAAGAAAGAAAGAAAGAAAGAAAGAAAGAAAGAAAGAGAGAAAGATTTTCTATAGCGCCTCTCATGATAAAAAATCACGAGGCGCTTCACAAAAACAAAAAATTGAAAATATATAAAAGAATTTAGAAAAAACATGTTTAAACTAAGCAAAAATAGACTATTGTGATTACAAATGCAAAGAAAGAGAGAGTAAGAATAGGAAAGAGGGAAATCAGTGGATCCTGGGAAAGGCGGAATAGGTAGGGAGAGCAGAATAAGGAGAGGGTGATGAAGGTCGCACCCTAACCAGCTTGAACAGGTGAGTTTTCAACATTCTCCCTCTCCTGATAATAACACTTTACTCTCTTTGACGCTGGATGTGTTACTACTAGTTTACCCGTTTAATTATAGATCCACTAGGATAAATACAATAAAGTTTATCTCTCACCAAATAGAATATTTACTAAGACATCACAATGTAACCATAGAAACATTACTTGGTGTGTGTGTGTGTTAAAAGAAAGTTTTCCTCTCCACTGTCGCTACATGCTTGCTTAGTATGAGGACTGCTGTAAAGACTGACACTAGTCAGTGACTTGATGCAACCTGCTGGGTTCCTTATATAGAAAACTTTTTTCTCATTGGCTTAATGAACTGACCTGTATTGGAATGTTTACTGTGTGAAGTTCCTTGAGACGACTCTTGTCGTGATTTGGCGCTTTATAAATAAAATTGAAATGAACTGAATTGAATTTTTGAAGGAGACCACTGCGTCCAGAGTCATTTGATGGATTAAATGAATGGGTGATTAACAGGCATCTGCAGCACTTGATGTCCTCCTGAGGAGGCAGTGTCAAGCAGGTGTGCTGACGCAGAGCCATGGAAAACATGTAGGATAGTGTGCCTTGAGGACCAGGGTTGGGAAACACTGACATACACATATAATAAATCAGACTAGCTGACTAGTGACTCTCCGAGACATGCTAATGGCTAGCCTCTCAGATGCTAATGACAGCCTATCCATGCTTAAGGTCCGTCAAGGGGGTAGGAAATCCAGCTAGGCACACTAATGGCTAGCCTCTCCGATGCTAACGCCAGCCTATCCATGCTAATGGTCCGTCGAGGAGGTAGGAAATCCAGCTAGTGACCAGCCTAGGCATGCTAATGGCTAGCCTCTCCAATGCTAACACCAGCCTCGTGATTTTTATCTTGAGAGGCGCTATAGAAATGATATTTTCTTCTTCTTCTGTCCAGGCTAACGCTAGCCTATCCATGCTAATAGACAGCAGAGGGAGTGTGTAAACCAGTCAATGACCAGCCGAGGGCCGCTAGTCCCTAGCATATCTAGTAATAACGCCGTAAAGGTGCCATTTCTCAGTAAGCAGCGCCAGCCTCTCAGTTACCGGCACCAGCTTATAATTAATAAGATCAGTAGTTTGCTTCAGAATTTATATAGCCTCCTGCTGCTGGGCAGCAGTCTTAATTTTGGCCCCCATACCGAGCGATAGCTTTTGCGATCAAAACAAGAACAAAACTCCTCCAGCATTCCTTCAACTAGTTCATGCCCAGTTCAGTTATAAGAAGAAGTAGCACATCTAGCGGGGGCTCATAGAGAGCGGTATGTTAACTAGCTTACCAACGTTAGCTTATGTTCTCTCTGCAGCTGTTCAGTGATGTAAACATGTTGCTGACTTTGTCTAAATTCGCCCCTCTGTATTCATAACACAGCAGACATCCCAGATGTAAAACAGCTTTCATCCTCTCAGCGGTAAGAGTGTATAACTCCTCAGGTTAAGGTTTACTGGCATTATCCTGGTACACAATAACACCAATGCAACATTCATTATGTGTTCAATACTGGTGCAATACCGGATTTACATTGCATGCTTGTGTCTCTTGCAGCATGCTGCATAGTGCTGGTCCAACACTATGGGCCCCATGTCTGTGTTCACCTTGGGCCCCCAAATTGCTAAATCCGCCTCTGGTATTGGAGCAAAGTTTTTTCTTTTTTACTCAAGGTTTTTAGGGGTCGAAGGTTGCAATACTAGACTACTGCCTATGTGTATAAATACATGTACCACTGATATGACTTTTCTTCCAATTATTCTCTTAAGTGTTGGTGCTGCTGTAACAAGTGAACTTCCCCACTGTAGGATCAATAAAGTCTATTCTATCGGAAATTAAGTGCAGACAATATCGGCATAATGGTTAAAAAAAGCCAATATTGACCGTCTCTACTTTATTTACAGTAACATTTGTTTTTCCATTTTTCATTTATTAAACTATGAAAGTGAGTGTGCAATGGTACTTTTTGCTCCTATTCTGGAAATTGAAAATATTTAAGTTTTTTGTGTTATTTACTAGTTTTACTTTAATCCATCTCCAGACTGTTTAATTGACGTATTATCTGGCCCTGCAGCTCTGATTAAACATGGTTTTACATCACTGCCCAAATCTAAACCAAGCACTTTATTATTTAAATTTCCCAGCAGGTGACAGGGATGATACAAAAATAAAACATTTACATTAATTTCACTTCATTAATCCAATAAAGTCTTAATTGTGACCTATTTAACTGCACGGTGAAGCATTTTAGTAACAAGGTAAGCACTTTCAAAACCAAACTAAGCTGGCTAGAAAAATCGAGCACGAGTTAACTGAAGGAACTAAACTCCCAGCTGTCTGCATTTGCTCATCCAGACACAGGTGTAGGACAGGTGTTCGTGTGAATTAGCTCGCGCCAGCTTCACTAACGCACGCGAACACAACTCTGTGGGTTTAAAGTTCCTACTTTCTCCAGCAGCTCTGCAGCTGGACAGTCGTCTTCATCGTGGTCTTCCTCGGCCGGGTCCTCCTCTTTAACTGCGTTCACCGGCAAACCGACCGAGTTGAACTGCGGACGTTTAAATTTAGTGGTTTTGCTTTTACCCATTTCGGCCCGTTTCTACGGGTTCGTGTAAACAGGATGTCTGTTGCTGAGCGCTGGGCTAGGGCGAAAGTTTAGCGAAAACACCGACGACTCGACTCAGGCGGAAGCCATGTGGAAGGTCCTCTCTCCTGCCGTAAAGCGATTGCTGCTGGCGGAAAGCAGTGACGTTGTCGCAAAAACAGATAAGAGACGTTTTGTTCAAGTGTGGCAAACTCCTCAAAAGTAAAATCATTATTTATGTGGAAGTTTTTGATAGTTTTTTCTTTCTATTTGCACATTTTGATGATTGTGTTTTTTCTTTTCTTTTTACGTTTTATTTTACTTTTGATGTCATGTATTTATTTACCTCAAAACCTGGATGGCTGGGAGCTTTCTTCAGCTGAATGAAGATAAGACTGAGATCCTCATCTGTGCCCCAGACAAGCTGGTTCCCAAAGTCAGAGACTCTCTTGGTCAGCTTGCTTCCCACACCAAACCTTCTGTCAGGAATCTTGGCGTGACCTTTGACCCAGCTCTCATCCTGGATTCCCATGTCAGTTCTCTTGTTCGCTCTTCCTTCTTCCATCTCAGGAACATTGCTAAGCTGAGTCCCATTCTGTCCCGCTCTGAACTTGAGACAGTTCTCCACTCCTTCATCTCCTCACGCTTAGACTACTGTAACTCTCTTTTCACGTGTCTGAGCAGAACCTCCCTGAACCGTCTACAGGTGGTTCAGAAGGCCTGTGCTCGGCTTCTGACCAAGTCCTCCAAACACACCCACATCACCCCGCTTCTCCTCCAGCTTCACTGGCTGCCAGTCAACTTCAGGGTTCATTTCTAGATCCTGGTTCTGGTCTATAGGGCCTTACATGGACAAGCACCATCTTACATTGGTGATCTTCTTAGTCCCTACACCCCCAGCAGGTCCCTGAGGTCCAGTGATCAAAGCCTACTGGTTGTGCAGCACCAGGCTAAAGACCAAAGGTGACAGATCATTTGCTGCTGTGGCCCCCAGACTCTGGACCTCTCTCCCCCTGAGCCTGAGATCAGTGGACTCAGTGGTCTCCTTTAAAAAGCAGCTGAAGACTTGCCTCTTCAAGTTGGCTTTTGTATGACCTTCTTCACCACACTCTCTTTATTCTGCTCTCCCCACCTATTCCACCTTCCTCAGGATCCACTGGTTTCCCTCTTTCCTGTTCACTCTCTCTCTTTCTTTACATTTTTTAATCACAATTGACTATTTTTGCTCATTTTAAATATATTTTCTAAATGCTTTTTAATATTTTTACATTTTTTGTTTTTGTGATTTTTATCTTGAGAGACGCTATAGAAATGATATCTTCTTCTTTACAGAACTCATGAAATTACACAATTATGATTTCACAGAAGGAGCACCCAGTGTTAGCTTCTTAACGGGCCTGTGTGATACAAAAACCTATGGCATCAACAACACCTCTACTCCCCCAGAACCACACGTCTCAGTCACCTGTTGGACAGAGACTAAATCACAAATGGGTAAAAATCGAACATCAAAAGTGTAAAAGCCAGGAGATCAATATGGTGTTAAGTCATCATCCTGTGGGATCAGCCATTAATGATGCTTTTGAATACTGTTACGCTCCAGGCTGTCTAGGGGTCCTGGGGTAACAATGAGAACGCATGTTCTTGTGGTAAAAGTAACAAAACAACATTTATTTAAATAAATATAAACTCAAAACACAGATTAACAAGACACATCAGCAGCAACACAAAACGAGTAACAACTAAACTCTCATATTAACCAAATTAATACAAAAAACCACGAAAGACCATCACGATTTCCCTTTTACTGAGTGATGTCTTAATAAAAGCAAGCGAAGGGGTAAAGTGTCATTTACCCCTAAAAGGCCAACGGTTAAACACAGAGAGTTAAGCTCTCACCAAAGTTGTTACATTAAACTTAACAAAACCAAAAGCTGCTGAGGAGACAACAGCCCAGAGAGAACCTCCCGGGCCTGCTGCTCCCTGAACTGAGGGCTGGCTGACTTTTATGCTGCTGGTCATCAGGATCAGCTGAGAGAATCTAACCGGGAGGCAATCTAGTGAGATTGGAGCCAGGTGCTGCATCTCCTCTCTCTCTCTCTCTCACACACACACACACACACACACACACACACACACACACACACACACACACACACACACACACACACACACACACACACACACAGGGAAAAACCCAAATGGCTCTGAGCCATAACGAATACATTCAGAAAAGGTATTTCCTTTATGGAATCATCATTCTCATTCCAAATCTCAGGGCCCTTGTGACTCTAAAGCTAGTACACTTCATCTTATGTTGTTTCCCTCTTCATACATTTCCCTTCTGGCAGATAAAAATAAACAAGAACCGAAGATTGAAGTCAAAATAACATGAAAAAAAGATAGAACTGGATATATGTGATGCAGGTTGGAATGGGTCAAGTATCAGGTGTGATGTGTGAATAAAAGCAGCAATAAAAGGAAAAGTGAGAGCAGCCATGTTGTCTGGTTTAGAGACCATGTCCAGGAGGAAAAGACAGAAAGCAGAACTGGAGGTCGCAGAGCTCAAGATGCCGAGGTTCTCTTTGGGAGTGAAGAGGATGGATAGGATCAGGAATCCATGAGAGGGACAGCTCCTGTTGGATGTTTTGGAGAAAAAAGCCGGAGAGGGTTTGGACATGTCCCGAGGACAGAAAGTGATTACAAACAGAAGGATGCTGAGGTTGGAGCCACCAAGGCTGAGAAGACCAAAAGGGAGATTTATGAATGTGGCAAAAGAGGACCTGAAGTGTGTTGATCTGAGGGTAGAGGACGCAGAAAACAGGACTAAATGAAGACAGATAATTAGCTGTGGCTACTCCTGAAGGGACACGCCCAAAGAGGCTTTTCTAGTCACACTTGTGTTGATATTGTTAGAATCGCCTTAAAATGTTTATTATTTATGGAAGTTTAAACTTAAATCTACTCTAGTTCAAAGGTCAGTGTTGTGTGCATGACAAAACTTGGTGCATCAACCTGGTAGCCCTTCATACGGCTCTTTAATCATGAAGTAGCTCTCAGCTTCATGAAGGTTGGTGACCTCTGGTCTAAACACTAACAAGAAGATTCATTAGTAACGAACAGGAATGAAAATTTACAAATCAAGGAACATTTCACACCTGTTGTGTTTATTAAGGTAAATACATTTAAAAAATAGAGCATTTAGATAAAATACATTTAAAGTCATGAAAGGAAATAAACACATCTGCACTCACTTGAATGCATAAAATATACGAAAGATGAGTGGATCAGCAGCCTCAACAAGCACATCAACTCAGAGACAGTATTTAAAAAGGCTTTCAGTTCATTTCTTTGTTCCAAAACCATTTTTATCACGGTGACAAAATCCTCCTCAGTGCCGCTTGGACCACCTGATGGACCGGAGAGCTGCCGGCTCGTTCGAAAGCAAAACTCGACCGGACACCAGCAGATGAGATCAGAAGTCACTGGATATGCGGTCGTGGTTTCAGGATGAGTTTCCCCGTCTGGAAGATTTTAAACAAGATATGTGCAAAAGTTAACTCATCTAAAAAGATGACGGGCTAAATAACATCAGATCTGCTGACTCACGTCATCACAGGACATGTTGTATTCCGCTAAAACTGTGCGGCAGCGGGCAGCGATTCTGAAAGTTCAAAGGTCAAGGATAACAGCCAGCAATGAACACGGATGAGCCATTAACTGAGGGTTCTTCACCCAGACACCCAATAACACTGCTGCTGCTGCAGGTCCGCTGCAGCACGGAGGATACATCGAAGGTGCTACGACTCGTTTGTGTATCCCAGCAAAGAAGAGAGCTATCAGAGTGACGCAGCTGATGGTGAAGAAGGGATGATTCCATAGTGATGATAAGAAGGAGACCTGCAGAAGGAGGGAGGAACAAATCACAAACATCCCAGATTCATCCTTCAGCAATAAAGTTCAGCAATAATCTAGTCCGACTGCTGCTGTTGGCGCAATTAAATCCTAACATGAAAACGTGTCCTTTTGAAAAATGCTGAGGAGGTGAATCTAAATGATAAATGACCCGCACTTGTGTAGCGCTTCTCAGAGTAAGGACTCCAAAGCGCTTTACACTACAGTGTATCATTCATCCATTCACACACATTCACATACTGATGGTGATGAGCTACGATGTAGCCACAGCTGCCCTGGGGTGCACTGACAGAGGCGAGGCTGCCGAGCACAGGTGCCACCGGTCCCTCCGACCACCACCAGCAGGCAACGTGGGTTAAGTGTCTTGCCCAAGGACACAACAGCAGAATTCTCTGTCCGGAGCCGGGATTGAACCTGCAACCTTCCGATTACTGGACAACCCGCTCAACGTACACCAAGAACCATCTAGTTCTATCTTTTCTTGAAATATTTTTTAGACTTTTCTTTTCACTTGCCCTAATGCGTTATCTCTAAACTGTGGGCGACTTCTGGTATTTCTTCAGTTTCTTTATTTCACATTTATGTGGGCCGCTGATACTGACGTAGAAATTTCAGGGCAGCAGTAGCTCAGGAGGTAGAGCGGGTTGCCTCATGACCGGAGGGTTATGGGATCGGTTCCAGCTCCCGCCAGGGGTGTTCTGCTGTTGTGTCCTTGGGCAAGACACTTCACCCAACTTGCCTGTGTTGGTGGTGGTTAGAGGGGCCGACGGCGCCAAATGGCAGCCTCGCCTCTGTCACACCGGCTGTGGCTACAAAGTAGCTTACCATCACTAGCAGTGTGTGAATGTGAGAGTGCATGAAAGCGTCTTTGAGTGGCCTAAACAAGCGCTATATAAGTTCGATGTATTATTATTATTAATAAAATAAAGCTAAATTAAATAGTTTTGACAGATTGTCGTGTAGCACTCGTTTCCACTGGCATAAACTTTCCCCATCATTTAGGATGGAATCTTCTCCTCCTCCTCCTCATCATCCAGCTGTCTCTATCATTTCGCACAATAATTTATGTTTTTGACTAGAATTGATGAAAAACAGTTATGGTATGATGTGAGCACAAGTCCTAACTGGCTTATATAAGACCTAACATGCATGGTTATATATAATTTGTGTAAAACATAAAAATTAGGGGTAGCAGCTGTCACATGCATTGCTATTTGCTTCGTCCTCCTTCCAGCGATACAAACCTTCTGCGTGTCAGGGTCTATTAGCCAGTTCCACGCTCCAGTGGCCGTACAAACGGAAACAACGATCAGGATCACTGAAACACGAGGAGAGAATGGGGACAGATGCAACATAACACACAACAGGTATTTGTTTAGGCTTGGAGAAAAGGAGCAAAACATCGTTCCGGATTAACCTAATTTACACACCTCATACCCACTTACACCTGACAGTGAAAGATCTAAACAATCCATACACCTGTCCAAATGGTGCTGTACTTGGCCTCATATTGTGATTATCACGTGCAGTCCAAGTCTTCCAAATCTTTGGCGAAACTGTCATTTGAACTTTTAATCACATTAAGCCCCATTTGATCACGAGACTCTGCTGTAATGATGACAGTAAGAGTGAAAGACAATCATTCAATGGTAACTTACTTCGCCACCTGCCTGTTGCAGGTTGTAAACAGGACACATATTCTGTCAGTCTTCTCTCAAAGGCCTTCAGGTCTATTAAAAATAACAGAAACATTAAAAGACTACACATAAGACGAGCGTAAGGGGTTAACAAGAAAAAACTCCGAAGACTTTTACGCGTTTGTTTGGGTGGAGGAGAAATGTTCCGACTGAATTATGTCAACATCAACACGATAGCTGAGTTTAAGCTACACTTTGAGCCTAAATGCTAATTTTAATAACACTAAAAACACAAACGCCCCGTGACTACGTTCAGTGATGCCCCACACCACCGCTTAGATGCCCGACAAGTTCTCCGACAAGTACATGATTTATGAATTCAAACTAAAGTACGACTGAACGCCTTTCAGCTAGCAAACAAGCTAATCTCACAAGCAAAAGTCAGCTACCGTAAAGTTATGCGACATTATCTAACTAAACACTGCATAGAAATATGTTTATTTAGGAGGGAATGTGTAGTCAGAAACCTAAAGTTTACTCAAATGTCTAATAAACGGAGATGTTTTATGTTTTTCGTTTGCTACCTTCGGCCTGCTCCAAGGAGTTCATCTCTGAGCCGTTCACTGCTGCCTCCTGTTGGCTGCGTCACTTTCCCTCAGCTGAATGACAGGCCTCCAGACCAATCAGAATTACGTAAATTTCATGGTAATATTTGATTGGATGTGATGATTTTTAAGGGTGGAACAAACGCTGAAGCCCCGCCTTCAACGGTCTATTTGGTGCTTTGACCGACAGATGGCGCTGTCGCACTAAAATATGATTTTTTTTAGACAGGTGGAATTTTTTGGTTTTATTAAACATGCCAGAAGTACATGGCTTAAATCAAGTTTAACACTGAAAATGTCACGAAATAAATTATTCTAATATAAAAACAAAACAAAAGGGAATTATAAAGAATAAAAAGAATAATTTAAAACATTTAATGCGATGTTAAGTTTTATGGATTCTTTAATTTCAATGCAAATCACTGCAGAATTTACGCATTAAGAACATTGACCAGAGTGAAAATCCCATTTTACTGCCAGGATAAAAAAATGTTTAGATATGATGTGATAATACATTTTTAAAGTGAAACTTTGTACAGAAACTTTTAGTTATTCATTTGATTTAAATGCTTATGATAATTTCTCAACCAGAGGTTTTTTAAGTAAAAAAAAGATGTTTTCTTTTGAATCTTTATTTTTAGCAAACATGGAAACCATTTAGTGTACAAGAAGAATACACATCAATGCATTTGAACAGACAACTCAGTAGGAAGTTGTGATCTTAAGCCATGTTAACGTTAAAAACAAAATCAAATGCTGTAGTCCGCTTTTTTATTTACAGGCTTCAATTTGTTCTGCAGCCTGACATCAAACTGGTTTTTCAGAAGTTCCTCTATCTCATCATCATTTACGTTTTTTATGTCCAAGACGTCGATCCCTTCTTCAGGTTTGTAGGTGACCTCGCTGTAGGTCCATCCAACAAGGACTCTGAATCCTGTCGGCGTCTGCAGCGAGCAGATGGACTTATTGGTGAACAGAGAGGCTGGATCTGTTTGGAGCGAGTGGTTTTTTTCAGAGAAATGCTCCGGTTCTTGAGGCGTCAGGGTGAAGCAGTAGAGCTGCTGAGTTTCCTTCTTGCTCACCAGACTGGATTCAGCAAACGCCGGATCGAGAATCTTTGGTTTTCGACGAGTTTTCTCCAGGGTCCACGTCCCGTCCTTCTCAGTGAGATGAAACACCCCAGCGACTTGAGGCTGGTCCTTTCCTGAGATGAGCTCTATCGGCTCCCACAGCTGGAAAGACACCCCAAAGCTTACATCAGCTATGTAGGCCTTCTCACCAATCCTGACCATGTGGATAAGATGATCATCTCTGGATCCAAAGTCACCGTTGTTGAAAACTCTGGAGCCCAGCATTGTGGCATCAAAACCCATCTGTCTCATCACCCACCCAAACAGGGAGTTGCTCTCAAAGCACCAGCCTCCTCGACTGCGCCGCACGATCTTATTGAAAATCTCCTCCAGGTCCATGGTGATCCTCTCTCCGCAGTGAAGGCTGAGGTTCTCAAAAGGGATCGACATGACGTGCAGCTTGTGGATCGACCTCAGGGTGTTGAGATCCGCTGTGTCTTTGGGGCCGTGGAAACCGATCCTCTGGAAGTACTCCTCCAAATTCATCGTGCCTGTAAAATATCAGGATGTCGCATACATTTAGCGATTCAGAAAGTTACGCAATTTATCAGACAATTATCAAGCATTTACTAAATTGATCCAAGTGTGAGGGCAACAATTTCATTTAGTGGTTTTCTAATAATGGAAAATGATCAAAGATAACAAAACTTTTTGATCCTACTTCAGCAGAGGAATCAAAGCTAATGACAGTTAAAAAAAGAACACTATCAGAGCTCTCAGCTCTACAATTGCCGACAGCGTTTGGATCAGTTAATAATTGACTGAAGATGTAATTCATTGACGTGCAAAAGTAAAAGGTGGCGTGCAAAAGCTGAACTGTGTGTGGACATTTAATGAAGCTGCAGACTTTAGACTTTAGAAAAGACTTCATCGCTGAAATAAAACTTTCAAAAGTATTCAACCTTTATACGGCACTCATCCAAGTATTTTAATTTTTTTCATTTCAACCCCAGGTTGTTGTGATAGTAAATAACCAAAATGTGTTTCTGTTGTATCTGAAAATCAGAGAAAACAACGTGATCAAATGTGGATATTGGTAAAAGAAATCCCAAAATAAAAAAAGTGAAATAAACATTATTTGTGAATAATATCGATAATTATAAGACACTTTAGAATAATCTGGCTTCTTTTAGAACATTACATCACTGTTGAAAAATACATAATGTATCACAATTATTAAACAATATAGAACATTTTTGAAAAGTTACTGAACAATAGATATGTAGAGAATTGGAGGGTTAAATTATGACCAATAAAATTAGATGATTCTATATAAATATCGAACATCAAGCTGATTGATCTTCAGATAATCAGATATTAATTTGAGCTCTTAACACCTGGAAAAGAAAGTGGTCCCATCGTGGTTTGTGTGGCGTTGCCGTAGTATGACGTCATAGACACAGATCCCTGTCCTGCTCACGCTAGGCTACCTCACACATGGATGTTTATAAATATCTATGCGGGCGCTGACACACAACACAACTTCTCCTGCTCACTTCTTCTTTAGGATGACAAGTTTTGATTGTTTTACTAGAAAAAGCTGCAAATAAAACTTGTACCTCTCATCCGGGCATTTACATCCGCTCACACCACAAGGAAGCCAGAAAAAAGCAAGTAAATTATGTTTTGCTAACCTGCAGGAAATGTCGATGACAGTTATCCAGAAAGTAGCTAAGGGTTACCAGAAATGTTCCTGGGGTGTCCGCTGGGTGCCTTTAAGGTTTAAAAAGTCAAGAAGAGGGTTTGAAAAGCTGTTGGAAATAGCGACAAAGTCACTTAGTTGGCAACGCTGTCAGGGAGGAGCGCTTGATTTTATCTCGGGGCAGCGCAAGAGGGAGGAGCTTGTATTGTTTTTTATAATCGTTCAAAACTCAGATCGTATTTGGGATTAAAATTTGATTAATTGAGCAGCCCTACACACAAGCATCACAGAGATTAAAGTGTACACAAGAAAGCATGCTCTAGAGGTCTGCAGCTGTTCAACAGCTCATGAGAAGTAGCCGTTGGTTGCCATGCGTTAGGGAAGTTATATAACAGTAAAAAAAAGTTTCACGTGTCAGTAAAAATTTGCAACACAATTGTGGTTTTACTGGAAAAATGTATTCCCGTGTGATATTTTGTCCATTTCCTTCGCTAATATCTTAAAGTTAAACAATTTTACAATTTCTGGTTTGATGTTCAGTAAATAAAAGCCTCTGTGCTTCAAATGTGTAGAATAATGATGCACCAACTGTAGGCAGTAAGTTTAAAGATGAAGATAAAATCACAAATCATACATCAAAAAGTCCCGAACTTCGTGTGAATACTTTTATTGAGATTTTAAAACGTGCAAAAGTAAAACAAAAATAACTCATTGCGATAAATGGTGAGACTTGTTTAAATATGAATGTCAAAACTAGATAAATTGCATTTCTTGCAGAAATGCTGTTTGAATGCTGGATAGCTGAAACTGTAAGCTGAAGCTGCTGAACAGCTGAACTGAAGCAAGTAAGCAAAACTGTCAAAATGAGCTGAATGTGTTGAAAGATGTAGAAGCAAAAATCACCAACAAGCAAATAAAGCACAAAAAGTAAGTGAAGAATAGAGAAAATAATCCAAAATAGCAAAAAAAAAACTGAAATCTGTGAACATTGTATAAAAACCTGGACAGCTAAAATGTCTAAACACTTTTTATTTCAGTTGGAAAAGTTTAACAGTTTAGTCTTTAAGTTTAGCCGAACTGTGAAATTAGCAGCTTGTGCTAAATTCGGTAACTGATTGCTGAAGTCGCTGAATAGCTGAAGTGGAGCTGAAACTAAGCTAAAATGTCAAAATGAGCTGAATGTATTTAAAGATTTAGAAGCAAAAATCACCAACAAGTGTAATAAAGCTCAGAATAAAGGTGGAGAGTGGACAAAAAAATGCTAAACAGCAGAAAACTTTAATCTTTGAATATTGAGTAAAAACTCAAAAGTTGAAATGTTTAAACAGCTGGCATTTGAATGAGAATAGTTTAATAGGCACATTTTTACAATTGGCTGAACTGTGAATTTAGAAACATTTGCTTATAACATATGTTCAGACTTGATATGGGATGGATGAATGGTTGGATGAATGAAATGATAGATGGATGTTAAATGGTTTATTGGATGGATGGATGGATGGATGGATAGATGGATGGATGGATTGATGGATGGATAGAAGCATGTATGGATTTATAAGTGGATGGATGGATTCCTTAGGCAAGCTGGTTGATTTGATACATCACATGTGTGGGTGTGTAATTCCATTTAGCCATTGACCTCTCTCAACCAATCAGGGAGCTGGGAGGGAGCGGGGCACTTTCCCACCTTCTGGCGGTCAATCAAATTTAACTTGTTTCTAGTTTAAAGTACAGATAGTTAGTACAGATAGTTCAAAAAGATCAAAAACAGGAGTCTGTTATTGGCTCAATATTCAGCTTTTTGTATTCATTCCTATGAGACTTGGTTAAAGCGATTTGTAGTTCCTTGTGTTGCCATGGTAACAGATGTGTGCTTTAATAAAGCAATGCACAATGTCACATGACTCTTTTAAACTTTGAATAACATTTCTATATTAAAGTATGTTGATACAGTTGTGTGTAAAATGTTGACTCCGCCTTTGTAGAGAGGGTGCTCGCTGCAGAACTACAAAGGCGGAGCTGCACCAGAGTCAGCCCCGCCCATTCACGCAAACTCAGCCTAGCCCACTGACTTCTTCTGTTTTTGTTTTTCAACTTTATAGAATAGGCTTAAAACATTTTTATTTTATAGGGCCTATGGTTAAAATCTGATGTTAGCCTAAATCTGGACAAGTAGGGGAGTAGAGGGAGGTGGAGTGCACAGTCGGTAAAGACGGCTCTCCCTTGCCCTGCCTCCAACATGCCTACATCTAAATAGGATAGATTATCCAGAGTTATCTCTGTAGTTATGCTGCTATAGGCTTAGACTGCTGGAGGATACACTGACCACTTTTCACACTCTACTGCTTTATTCTACAATCTGCTCTTTAACTGTACTATTTTCTGCAATTTCAGCTGTTAACTTTATTTTCTCTCTAAGTGTTTTTCTCCCCAGAAGAAGCTACAATGACGTTCTGCTGAGCTGTGGTGGTCTCATGGAGGGGGCCATCGTCTAACACACTGCTGCTAACCACTAATACATTCACTCTCTCCTGATAATGGCTTTTTGCTTTCCTTGACTTTTGATGTGCTAATTCTAGTTTATACATTTAATTATAGATCCACTAGGATAAATACAATAAAGTTTATCTTTCACCAAATAGAATATTTACTAAGACATCACAATATAACTATAGACACATTACTAGTCTTTGTGAGTGTGCGTGCGTGCATGCGTGCGTGCGTGCGCGTGCGTATGTGTGTTCTGTCTTCTCCATCCCCAGTGAGTCGTGGAGGATGGCTGCTTATACTGAGCCAGGATCCTCTGGAGGTTTCTTCCTGTTAAAAGGGAGTTTTCCTCTCCACTGTCGCTGCATGCTTGCTTAGTATGAGGATTGCTGTAAAGTCACTGACACCACGTGCACAGATTTGGGGGTTTATTCAGACATTTGGCTTTGCATCATGAATCAAATGCTGTGAAGCTTTGAGGGCTCATGTTGCTGTGATGTAAGGTTGATGTTCTGCTGACTAAAGCATTAAGGTGAGTGTTGGGTGTTGATGGACATTTACTTCACTACAGTTCTTCCATTAAAGTTGTTTAACATGTTTAAAACATTACAAATTACAAAATGTTTAATATTTGTCATTAAAAAAATAAATGCAATATGGTAATTTAAGATCATCTCACTGCATTTGAGATCAGAGAAACAGCCGCTAAATCCTCACATAAGTTTTGTGCTTAATTTACTATTCTTGTTTTGAACTTCAAAGGATTATTTTTGTTTTGTAATCCAAACTGTATTATACTGAGGTTCAATTTCAGAAAATCAACAAATTTATCCTGTCCTTTATCGCACCGGAAGTTGAAGCGTTTTGAAGTAAAACTAAAACTTCATCAAAACTTTCAAAACAAGGCATTTATAAATCTAGTTTATTAAATCTAAGGCTCAAATCAACAAGGCATAATTTATAATAGAATATTCAGATATTTGTATTTTTTTCCAATTCAGATTTTGTTAAGCCGTTGTGTATATCAAGTAAAATGTTTTAATTTTTTCTTTTATTTTGGAAGAAACGTGACCATGCTTCCGGTATTAGGACCGAGCTAACAGGAAGTTAGCGAGTTCACCTCTCAAGTGTTCTGAGTCATTACAAGCCAACATTTCACTGTTTTTGTGTCGAGTTTACCGCCAGGGTTTATGTTACCAGTGAGTACGTTAGCAGCTAAGTCTAGAGAGTACAAAATGTAGCATAACTGTTAGCATGTAGCGCGTTATGCGGCTGGTTTAGTCGGGATTTACTAAAAACTAGCAGGTTTTAGGTTCTGATAAGGGTTCATGTAGAAACACTAAAGTCGTTTACTTATTTATTTGCACCTCAGCTAATAAATTATTACATTTTCAATTAACTCAATCAGCATAACTCTATTTTAATTGCTAGTGCTTTTGTGACTTTGCCATTTTGTTTTAAAAGGTTTTTGACAGATTGTCTGTCGCCATGGAAGACACACCTAAAAGCACATATTTAATAACTGGAGGATGTGGCTATTTTGGCTGTCGGTAAGAACTATTTTATTTATTTTTTAGATGATAAAAATCAGATGAAAAATGTTGAGCCTCCAAGTTGTGTTGTGCAGGCATGGTTTATGGCCACAAGGTGGCCCTGTCGCACCATTTACCAGCTAGATGAAACTCTATCTTGTTAAAAAGTATTTTGTGATGCACTGGATTTAAGCTCAGGCACCGTGTGAGTTATAAATAAACTCTCTTGAATTCATGTTTGCGTTTGCAGCCTTGCATGTGCTCTGCATGAAAATGGAGCCAGAATTATCCTGTTTGACACCAGCCCTCCACATCAAGAAGTCCCTGAAGACGTGGTGTTTGTCTCAGGTGATGTTCGGGACTATGCACTGGTTGAGAAGGCTGTCGTCGGTGTGGACTGCGTCTTCCACATTGCCTCCTATGGCATGTCCGGTAGGGAGCAACTAAACAAGCATCTGATTGAGGAAGTCAATGTTCAGGGCACGCAAAACGTATTGAAAGCTTGTGTCGAGCATGGAGTACTGAGGCTGGTGTACACCAGTACCTTCAACGTGGTGTTTGGAGGCCAGGTGATAGAGAATGGGGATGAAAGCCTCCCTTATTTACCTCTCCATCTTCACCCGGATCACTACTCAAGAACCAAGTCCCTGGCTGAGATGGCGGTGCTAAAGGCCAATGGTACAGCTCTGAGTGGCAGCTCGGATGTGCTGCGAACCTGCGCCCTGCGCCCAGCAGGGATCTACGGGCCTGGAGAGCAGAGACACCTGCCCAGGGTTGTTAGCTACATCGAGAAGGGGGTCTTCAGGTTTGTTTATGGTAGTCCCAGCAGCCTGGTGGAGTTTGTCCATGTGGATAACCTGGTGTCAGCCCACGTGTTGGCTGCAGAGGCTCTGACTGCAGAGAAGGGGCACCGCTCTGCTGGCCAGGCTTACTTCATATCCGACGGGAGGCCCATCAATAATTTTGAATTCTTCAGACCTCTAGTAGAAGGCTTGGGATATCCATTCCCCAAACTTCGCCTTCCCATCTCCCTCATCTACTTGTTTGCGTTTCTCACAGAAGTGATTCACCACGTCGTCGGGCCCTTCTACAACTTCCAGCCGCTGCTGACGCGCACAGAGGTGTACAAAACCGGAGTCACGCATTACTTTAGCATGGCCAAAGCAAGAGCAGAGCTGGGTTACGAGCCCCAGGAACGCTCCCTGGATGAGGTGGTGCGGTGGTTCCGAAGCCGAGGCCACGGGAGGAAGCGTCAGGACTCCTCTGTCAGACTACTACTCAACCTCCTGCTGGTTTCTGCCTTCGTGGCCGTGGCGCTGTCCTTCCTCCCCGTCGTTGGTAGTTGATGCTGAAACAAAAGATGGCAAACGCTCATCGTGAATCAGGACTGAGTCGAACGAAGATTGTTTGACTTTTCAATGGAAAATGTTCCAGAAACGGGGACCAATGATCCACAAATGCTGTATTGGAGCTGTTTGGTGTTCCGAGTTCAACAGAAACGAATAAACTCTTAACAAACTGAAAAGTGCTCATTGTGTGTTTCATTAAAAGCCGCTAAAGTGGAATAAAATCGCAAATATTTTATTTCTCGCTCATTTAGAACATTTCATCTTTGTTGTGTTTTACAGGATGAACTTGAGTGCCAATCCTAACTCTGGTGGATTGTTTGGTTTGGTTTTTTTTGCAGAAGGAGTCGGACCAGGTGAGGCGTGCTTTGTGGTGGATTTCAGTCTGCCTGGCGAATGCAGACTTCCCTTCGCTCTAAACTATTCTCCTCAGAGCCGACAGCCCCTTGCTGAGTTGGTCGCAATCATTGTTTCTCTGCAGCATTAACCACATTCCAGAGGGGCGCAGCGCATCCCGTCTTCCTCCCCGCATTCCTTTCAGGGAAACGAGTCCCTGACTCCAAACGGGCTTTTGTCGGAGTTCTGCCGCTCCGGTTCGGCTGGGATCGGTGAAAACCACACAAGCAGCCGCTCTGCGTTTATTCAGCCTGGTTAGTTTGCGCCAAAGCGGCTCTGGGGCAGAACTAGGGAGAAAGCCAACAAGGAGAAATTCCTCCGCGCAGCGCGCCATTGACTGTAAAGACCTTTCAACTTAACAAAAACTGAAGTTGACAAACGTATCGCTGTCGGCTGAAACTGTGAGAAAGAGTTTTTTTTTTTTGTTGTTGGCGGAGGGAGGGAAGCAGAGGGGAACGATGCGGCTCTCGGCGCAGATTTGCGGCTCCGCCGCTGCTTTGGCGTGAAGGAGCGACGGCGGCGTTTTGTTTTGATTTCCATGTGAAACACAATTAGTGCTCCGCGGTGTGAGCGCAGCGCACTCTCAACTTGTCCCTCTTCTATGGAGCACTACCAGGGGGAGCTGGAGCTCCGGGCCGCCGCGCTGATGGACGACCTCTCCCTGTACGACGCCTACAAAGACGGGATGTTCAGCACGAGGAGGGACCTGGTGATCAACCCAGATCTGGACTTCTCCACTCCGGCGGGCGCGGACCTGAAGACCAAGCCGATGAATGGCACCGCTGTGCTCCACCAGCAGCATCACACCGTGGAGAATTTCACAACCGGGAATAAAGTGTACATGGCGGCTCCCGTGCGTCCCGTGAACTGCAGCCGGACGGTACCGGTGGATTTCTGCGCCCCTCAGAGAGACGCTGCGTACAGCGAGGAGGGCTGCTGCACCAAATCCGAGGTGGCGCTGCCCTGCTACTCTGGCACCTCCGAGAGGCACAGGAGGTACTCTCTGGAGGTGCAGGGCCACAGGTATAGCACCGGCTCCACCTTTGACGGCGTGCCCATCAGCAAAGCAGTGCCTCTGCCCGGCAACAGGTGCAACAGCGTCTGCTTAACCAGCAGCCACGACGGGAGGTACAACGCCGCCAGCCCCCGCTCCAGCCTGGCATCCTCCCAGGAGCAGAGCAAGCACGCCAGCCCACGGTCCAGCATCAGCAGCCCGCGCACGAGCCTGGTGGTACCGGGTCAGGACAGGTACACGAGCCCCAGGTCCAGCCTGGTTCACTGTGAGGGCAACAGTGTCCTCAGCCCGCGTTCCAGCTATGCAAGCACGGCCAGTGACACGAGCAAGCACTCCAGCCCCAGAACCAGCCTGAACAGCTGCGACTGCTGCAGCAAGCCCAGCAGCAACCGGACCAGCGGCATCAGCATGGGCTACGACCAGAGGCACACCAGCCCCCGCTCCAGCACGGCCAGCCAGTACTCCTTCACCACCAGCCCCAGGTCCAGCTACTCGGACTCCCGGTACGGGCCCGTCGCGAACCATGACCTGGAGGGCTCCATCCTGTACGCGGCGCCGCTCGCGAGCCCTCGCTCCAGCATCTGCAGCCAGGACGGGAGCGCACGACCGGGGACCGCCGCCAACTGCGTGGTCAGTCCGCGCTCCAGCATCTCCAGCCACAGCTCCAGGAGCTCCCGCAGCTCCCGGGGCTCTATGAGCACCTACCCGGACATGCAGCTGCCCTCGCCCCGGACGTCCATGCTGGGGAGCAGCCTGCACGAGGACGCCCTGCTGCAGGAGTATGGAGACTCTAATGGGACCCCGAACCGCATCCTCCTGCAGGCGGTGACCGAACCCCAGCAGGCAGGAGGAACCGTAGAGATAACCGGGTCACAGTCCTCTCTGACTTACGGGATATCCTCCAAAACGGTGTCGTCGGGCCAGAGGTTCAAGCTGCCTTACCAGGTGACCCCCAGCCGGGAGAATGGGCCGAGCCAGGCGGAGAAGAGGCTGGAGGCGCTCACGCTGGAGCTGGAGAAGGAGTTAGAGATGCGCATGAAAAAGGAATACTTTGGTAGGTTTTTCATTCTGCAGCATACTTTTTATCAGTCGTGTGTTTTTTATGGTTTGGAGGAATAGCTGTGAGGTTTTTAGAAAAAAGGTTCCCCCAAAATAAAGAGTAATTGATTTTTTTACATCATTTTCCAGTGAGGGGGTCTTTAAAGTTTTGTTTCTGATGCAAAATCTGTCATGTTGACATTTTTATCAGGTATGAAGTCATGTTTGGATCTTGTTTCTTCTGCAGAAACATGATGCTTTCTCTGACTCCAAACATTCTGCACACTCTTCACTCAAGACATCGTCTAAATAGTAAAATCATTGTTTTTATGCATGCAGGGGTTCTTTTTGGATTGTTTGCTGATCTGTTTTCTCAACCACAATCTGCAACCTCGTCATGCATCATCTCTGCTAACCAGTGGGTCACACTCTGATAAGAAATGCTTTGCAGGGCAGTGCTAATGTCCTGGCAGAGCTAACATTTGCAAAGTACGGTGGCGTGGAGCTGAATGGAAGCCTCTGTTCTGGCAGAACACACACACACACACACACACACACACACTTTGGTCATTCAGAGCTGTGTGGTTAGGGTTTGGGATCAAGTTTGCCGTTCAGGTTCAAGCAGAGGATTGAGTTTTTCATTCAGAGTGATGCAAACTGAAAATGTTTGGCCTTTTCAGCATCTGAGAGGATTTATGGGCGTGTCAGACATTTATGGTGTGACAGGCGCTGCGGCACGGCGAGACTTTGAGCAACAGGAGGCTTGCAGAGGAAGTTGTCCTCTACCTTTTTAGGGTTTGCAGCCAGAGAACAGTGACATGTTGTAGCTGGTGCACTTGCTCAGACGGTCTCTGGCAGCTGTTGAGTAGATCCAGAGAAGCAGGTGAATGAGAGAGGATGGAAGATATGAGGAAGGCAGACAGGTGTGTGTGTGTGTGTGTGTGTGTGTGTGGTGGGGGTAATGACAGTGGTAATAGATAGAAATGAAGAGAGAAAGGAAAGGGAGGGAGAGAGAGAGAGAGAGAATGCAGCCAGACGCTCCTCAGTCCCAGCCCAATAGAGACGGCTCTGTTTCCGTAGCGACAGTACCGAAATTGATCACTGGGGCTTGTTTTAGGGGCCCCGGCGGTGCCTGCCAGCACCCCAAACAGCCCGCTCTGCTCCACGCCACTGGCCAGCCCCTGTGTGGCCCGTTTGTTGTGGTGGCGTAGGAGCTGTGAATCAACAGCTGGCCTGGTGGAAGCTTGCAAGTGAAGCTGCAAGCTGCCCCCCCCCCCCCCCCCCCCGTCCCTCCTCCCAAGCAGCACCCCCCACCCCGGACTCTCCCCGCAAAGCCCTTCATTAACCAGCCAGTGGGGTGTCGGGCAACACCAGACACTTGGCACACGATCCTGGCTGGCGGGCCAGACGTGGTTAGTGGGGGTCAAGTCTGATCACCTGCCCAGAATTATAATGGCAGTAGTCATGCACATGTCTGGCACACACATGCTGACTGTGTGTGTGTGCATGTAGGCCTCAAATGTGTGTAACTTTGCAGGAAAGTCCTTCATGCACTGTGGAATTTGTTCTTTCTTGAAAAAACATGAAATTAAACGTATTCAGTCCCTGCTGGTCTGCAGCAGGTCCATCTGTCTGCATAATACTCTAAACATAAACTTTCTGTTGCTCCTGATTCACCAAAAGGTGGATGAGATCATCCTTATATCTGCACGCCTGTCTTTGCAAAACTTCTCCTCAAGAAAACACAAAAATAGCTCCAACTCTGTTAGATTTACAGAAATTGGCTTAAATTTGGCCTGATTGTCACTAAAAATCCACGATTGTAGCTTCAGCTTCCAGCCTGAAATCTCACTAATCATTTCAGAAAATTTAAGTCGACATTTTCCGTCCTTCATTTCTGTTTACTTTACCCATTAGAAACCTGCTGCTTTTGCAGGAAGTGAATCACCTGCAGAGATTTTTATGTATTAATATTTGGCAGCATCACAGGAGGAACCTGAAACCGGATTCTGAATGTCCTGCAGAAGTCGAAACTCACACAGGGTGGGCGTTATCGGTTCGGTGATGAGAAAGACAAAGTCGGCCGCATTTATTAATATTTTCATTTATAATCCAGCTGCTTATTCTCTAAGGTATTTTTCCAAATCAAAATTAGACACATTTTCTTCTGCTTGATGCTCCTTAGCAACCAATTAGAATTAAAGTCTTCCTGCAAGAAGCTGCCTTTGAGTTTCCCGCAGAACAATAATCTGACTCGCGCATAAAAGCTGGGACGTGTTTGAATATATGTGCATCAAGTGATGGCATTTTTATTTTTAACCGCAGCACACATTGCATCCTTGCTTGCCAAGCGAACATGTTGGGACACAGGCGCAGCGCAGATCCAGCATCCTGCTCTGAACGCCTAACGAAGAGCGCTCTGGATCTCCCTGCTGTCCTGTAAAAAAACCCAAACCACATCCTCACTTCAGAGACGCTCCAGGATTTACAGCAGCAGGACCCGTAAATTGCATTTATGGTCCATGTTTACAAGTTGACGCGTGAAAATCCAGAAGCTCTGAAAACACGCGGCGTGTCGGTAACTGCAGCGAGTAGATGGGACAAAGATGTAAAGGTCCGGCTGAAGGAATGGTTTCTTTCTGTCCAGCTGCTGAAAGTCGAGGCACAGTTTTATATGGCAGAGATCTACGGGGGAGAAAAGATAAACGTATTGAGGATGAAATCATTACGGAACAATCATGCATAAGTTGTTGAGGGACTACAAGTGATTTTTTTTTCTAGAGGGTGACATCGAGGAGGATAATCTCTGATTTTCCTCGTTGGTGTTTCTAAGCTGCAGCCTTTGGCCAGAGAGTGTGTAGATCTCTTCCTTCCGCTCTGCTTTTTGCCTTTAAAAAAAACCCCAAACCATTCATCTGACGGCATCTGAACCAAACACGCCGGTGTCATGTCTGAATTAGTAACCTGGTGCTTTTAAACCCTGTTACCGCTCACCTTTCGGATTTACCACAAGCCTGAACTGCACGGAGTCACTAAAGCTGGGAGAAGCTGGGTTTGGTTGAACGAGGAGGAAACTTTAGTCAAACCTTTAATTTTTTTTGCAGTGCAGAGTTCTGGGTCATTTCTGGGAGGAGGAAGACCGGGAGTTACGATGGCTTGGTACTCTCAGGCCTTTCAGCACTTTGCTACGATGGCAGCCTATCACGGCCATTTTTCTAGCGAGTGATGTCACAGATCAGCACCAAAATGCCTCCACGCACATTAATAACATTCTGGGGACCTGGAGAGTGGCTGTGTGACATAAAGAGCCCTTCAATAACAAGAAGAAGCACCATTTTATCATTTATCTGTGCTCCACAAACTGGAGTAAATTACAGAGTTTGGGGGGGTTAAATTCAATTCAAGTTCATTTATAAAGCGCCAAATCACGACGAGAGTCGTCTCAAGGACCTTAGCGCAGTAAACATTCTTATATAGTTCAGGTCATTAAGCCAATCAGTAAAAAGCTTCCTATATACGGAACACAGCAGGTCGCATCGAGTCACTGACTAGTGTCAGTCTTTACGGCGATCCTCGTACTAAGCAAGCATGTAGCGACAGTGGAGAGGAAAACTCCCTTTTAACAGGAAGAAACCTCCAGAGGATCCTGGCTCAGTATAAGCAGCCATCCTCCACGACTCACTGGGGATGGAGAAGACATACACACACACACACACACACACACACACACACACACACACACACACACCAAGTAGTGTTTCTATGGTTACATAGTGATTTCTTAGTAAATGTTCTATTTGGTGAGAGATCAACTTTATTGTATTTATCCTAGTGGATCTATAATTAAACGGGTAAACTAGTAGTAGCACATCCAGCGTCAAAGAGAGTAAAGTGTTATCATCAGGAGAGGGAGAATGTTTAAGTGGTTAGCAACAGTGTTCAAGCCGATGGCCCCCTCCATGAGGCCACCACAGCTCGGCAGAACATCATTGTAGCTTCTTCTGGGGAGAATTCTGCTGTTGTGTCCTTGGGCAAGACACTTAGGCCCTGTCCACACGTAGCCGGGGATCTGCCAAAACGTAGATATTTTTCTACGTTTTGGCCTGTCATCCACACGAAAACAGAGTTTTTTCACACGGAAACGGATCTTTTTAAAAACTCCGGCCAAAGTGAAGATCTGTGTTTTCTCCGTTTTGGGTGTCTGCGTGTGGACGGACAAAACCAGAGTTTTAAGGTCCGCAACGTCACTTTCCGCGACAAAAAATGCTGACATCACGTGTGCGACCTGTGTTTACACTAGCCGACAGCATGGATGCCCTCAGAGCTGCACTCGCTTTATCAATTGTCCAAGCGCTTTTTGCTTGTTTGTTTTTGCAAGCGGAATTACTGCTCCTTGTGGAAGACCACAGACGAAGGACGAGGTTAAGAACGGGGGAAGTACTGCCGCCTACAGGTCTGGCATGTCCTTAACAACGTATTTATCCGGGTACGTGTGGACAGAGTTTTTTTAAACGAGGTGGTGTGGATGCAAGTTTTTGGAGGGGCGGATACTCGTTTAAAAAAAAACCCGGCTACGTGTGGACTAGGCCTTAACCCGCCTTGCCTGCTGTTGGTGGTCAGAGGGACGTGCTCGGCAGCCTCGCCTCCGTCAGTGTGCTCCAAGGCAGCTGTAGCTGCATGGTAGCTCATCCCCACCAGCGTGTGAATGACTGGTTGTGTTGTGAAGTGCCTTGGGGGGTTGTAGAACCCTAAGAAGGCGCCACACAAATAAAGGACATTTACCATTTAGAAACCCAGTTTAAGTTGGATTCTCCTCCAAACAGGAAGGGAAGACTTTTAGTCTGACTTCCTGTCAGAAAGGGGGGGGGGGGGGGCACATGTGGGTGGTTACCACGGTAATCCTGATGAGCCACTGGCAGAAGCTTTAATTTTTGTTTTGGTCATGTTTCTCCTAAACACAGCTTTTAAATGTGAGCTCAGATCATTGAAACCTTGATGTTGGAGGTGCATGCAGCTCGGCGTGATCTAAAGGTTCTTGTTAGAAATCGGCCAAGCAGAATAAAAGACTGAAAAGTGGCTTCACCGCTTCTGTTGTGATCTTCGACTTTCTGTCTTTCTGATCAAAAATCTGTTTTAGTCACGCGTTTAAAAACATCACCGGTATGATATCAGAGTAAAAGGATGTTTTGGGGTTTTAACTTTAATTTAAAAAAAAGGTTAAAATGACCAACTTTCGCTAGGAGAGTTAAACGTCTGTGTCTGATTTATTTTGAATGTAAACAAAAATCTGATTCTAAAAACTTAACCGGATGCTTTGCTGTCGAAGCTCATCCTTTATCCTAGTGGCACTCCAGTCTTGCCCGTGACTTGTGGGACTCGCTCCTTGGATTTTATCTGGGTTTGATCTGATTTTACACCAGATCCTGCTTCCGAGTCGCGTCGGTTCGGCCCACTTGGGTCCTGCGGGCACCGTGACCCCAGACTTACCCCATCAAGTCTCCGCACCGACGCACTCTGAGGAACGCGACCTCACCGGAGCTCGTCTTGTTTTTATTTAGATCGATTTGAAGCCTTCTGCGGACGTCCCTGTAGATCATCTGAACCCTGAAGTTAGAGTAGCTTTGGTACCTTTGGTTGGACTGAAGCGGGACGCGAGAGCTTCTGTTAAGAAAAACCTTCCTGAAATGGGTAAAATCTAAGATTTAATATTAAACTTTGTTGGAATAAGTAACTTGAATTACTTTTTATTTTATTCTCTCTTGTCCGTGTTGAGTTTCCAAAGGTTTTTATCTGATTTAACGTGTAGTTCTGGTTCAGGCTGCAGCAACTTTTCCCTCAGAACTGACACTTTTTTTTTCATTCTCAGAACTTTTTAATGTAATTTTATATTTTCTGTGGTATTCTGCCTTTTTCCAGTTTGTTGTAACCCTCAGAAATAACAACTCCAGCATGAGCAGCAAAGTAAAATAAAAAAAACCCAAAGTCACTTTTTTCCTGTTAGGTTTGGAGCTGCAGGTCTGACATTTTCATAAAAACAGAGAATTTCTCGTGCTGTTTGGCTTCACGGTGGATCACAAGTTCTGTTTCTACTTTCCTGACGGGTGACGGGCCTCCGTCAGCTCCCCGCTGGAGAAGCCGGGGCGCAGCAAGAGTCCGGTTGTTTTGTCTTCTAGAAACTCTTCCTTGCTGTTTAGCAGCGTGTCGCTCTCCTCTCAACATTTCCAGTCTGGGCTCGCTGTCTGTGTTCATTCTGCGCTGAAACAAACGTTTTTATAAATCACTGCCTTGTTGCCTTCGGCAGGTATCTGTGTCAAGTGTGGGAAGGGTGTGTACGGGGCCAGCCAGGCCTGCCAGGCCATGGGGAACCTCTATCACACCAACTGCTTCACCTGCTGCTCGTGTGGTGAGTACAGCCGTCAGTTAGAGGAGTCTGGAACGCAAATCCTACCTGAAGTCGTGGTTTTGGAGCATCATTGCCTGTTTATTGAGCTCCTGTTTCATATGCCATGTAAGACATTTATCGTGTGTGTGTGTGTGTGTGTGTGTGTGTTAGGAAAATATCTCAAGTACCGCTGGGTGGATTCTACTTCCTTCCTTAAAAATAAAGTTTTGGTTCCAGTCTGAGTGTTTACGTCCAGTCCCACACACCCCGACACATGGGAAGAATTTTAGCTGAAATTGCAGAAAAGTTTATCTGCCTCTTCCTCACACACACACACACACACACACACACACACACACACACACACACACACACACACGTCTTTCTATCATAGTGAGGACCGTCCATTGACTTCCATTCATTTTTGTGACTCCACTGTGCCTAACTCACACCCCAACCCTAACCATAACCAATCCTGATCTATTCCTAACCCTAACCTTAACTAAAACTTATTTCACACCATATCTCTAACTGGTATAGTAAGCTTCTTGGTAAGCTTCTAAAAAAAGTGAGGACCAAAAAATTGTCCTCACATTGTAGGGAAAATGGCCAAAATGGTCCTCAGTATGTAATAAATACAAGAACACACACACACAACCCATCCTACCTGTTCACATTCTTTATGATTGATAAGCTAATGGCTAGGAATGAAGCCAAGCTCAAAGCTGCCATCTGAAAACGGCTCCAGACACTTAAAGGATGTTATTTCCATTCCACATGGAGCTCTGTGGTTTTCACACACACACGCACGCACGCACACACACCACACCACAAACACTCACACACACAACTCCCATCCTACCTGTTCACAGATCATTTGCTGCTGTGGCCCCCAGACTCTGGACCTCTCTCCCCCTGAGCCTGAGATCAGTGGACTCAGTGGTCTCCTTTAAAAAGCAGCTGAAGACTCACTTGTTCCAGCTGGCTTTTGTATGACCTTCTTCACCTCTCTCTCTTTATTCTGCTCTCCCCACCTATTCCACCTTCCTCAGGATCCACTGATTTCCCTCTTTCCTGTTCACTCTCTCTCTTTCTTTACATTTTTTTAATCGCAATTGTCTATTTTTTGCTCATTTTAAATATATTTGTAAACATTTTCTAAATGCTTTTTTATATTTTTACATTTTTTGTTTTTGTGAAGCGCCTCGTGATTTTTATCTTGAGAGGCGCTATAGAAATGATATTTTCTTCTTCTTCACATTCTTTATGATTGATAAGCTAATGGCTAGGAATGAAACCAAGCTCAAAGCTGCCATCTGAAAACGGCTCCAAACTCCTTATTTTCAAAGCAGTTCACTTACAGGGTGTTATTTCCGTTCCACATGGAGCTCTGTGTGTTTGTTTGTTTTTTTATAACCGGTTAAACGTTGCACCCCCAGTGCACCCTGGAGTGAAATCCTGCAGGAAGCTGTTATTTTAGCCAAATTAGCCATTTAATGTGAAAATAACAAGGTTGGGTTCTTCTTGTTCTAAAGTGTATTGTTGCTGATTTAAAATGGCATCAGTTTCCCCTCATATCGTCAGTGCCCCAGTTTCACTATTTATGGTTATTTTGCAGGAATATCAAGAAATTCCTGTTGGAATCTCAACATCAGTGTCAGTTCTGCACAAAAATAGAGATATATTTGACTGAAAGGCTTTATGTATAACGTAATTTCTCTAATTCTACCTTATAGGTGGTGATTTTCTAGTGATGCCTGCTCATACTGATCTATTATTTAAATTTTTATTTTGCTATTTATAGTTTAAAAAATTCAAGAATAAATATATTAGAGGATTATTAAATTAGGTATTACTTTAGTGTGAAAAACATTATTGTTTAACATTTATTTATAGTCAAAATGGGGAAAAAGTAGAAATTTAAGATGGCAGCAACTATTTGTTCAGACTAGCCGTTAGCCTGTCAGTCTTGTGGGGCTCTGAGGCTGTTCAGCCTCTCAAAAAAAAATCCCTTTAAAATATATATTTTTAAACTCTCATAAAGCCTCAAAGAAATCAAATCCTGGCGTGTTTCTTCTCCACGACTGTAATTAAGTCTGCTCTTAGTCAAAGTTCAGTATTGTGTGTGTGTGTGTGTGTGTGTGTGTGTGTGTTTCTGTATGCCCCTTGCCACACAACTCCAGACCACCTCTCCTGTTTCCGCGGACAAACAACAGGAAGATGTCCTGATGGATTCTTTCAGTCTGAATGTGTCGTAGAGCTCTGCTCAGAGCCCTCGGGCTCCGGAAGAGCTGCCTATAATTTACATGTAACCAAAGCCACATATTTTCAGATTTATTGTGTGTTGGAAGAAAAGAGGGGGCCGAATGCTGAGTGTCTAGTTGCTGTGGTTGCTGGGTTTTCTGTAGGGAGAGAGGAAAAAACCCGAGCCCCCGGACTGGTTAAAAGCTGTTTCGGACGTCCTTATGATGCTTTTAGGGGTTTTGTTCAGAGGTCAGCTTTCATTTCCAGAACAAAGACGGTTACTCTTTGCTTTTGGTGGAATCAAACACATGTTCAACCAGATTATTTCCTCTGAAGACTAAAACTACTCCGAGGGCCCGGCTGAGGTAGCTGTGCTGGAAGTAATTACCTTCAGACAGAAATCGGACGTCTCCTGAGAGAATTATCGGTGAGTTTATTGGAGAAATCTTTTTCTGAGCTTCTCAGGTTGGTTTATTGGGAAACATGTAAAATATTGTTCTGCCTGTTTTGTTTTTAATGCCCTAAACAAACGTTTGCTGCTTCCAGAGAGCCTGCACTTGGCACGGCGACTACTCGGTGCTTCATCAGGAGCCATGTTCTGTTGTTTGTGATTTTTGGTTTCTGTTCACCGTCCCTTGTGCGTTGGTGTCCTCCGGGTGTCCGGCGCCCCACGGTGAGGCCGGTTCGCTGAGACGTAGCTCCCTGGTAGCTCCGGGCTTTGTTTAACCATGCATAATTGAGCCCTCCTCTTGGCTTACTCCGATGGTTGCACCCTTTTTTCATGAGATGGCCAAGAATGCAAACCCTCCCCACCACCACTTCAGCCAGCCTTCCCTGGAGGACCTCAATCACACACAGTCACAGAGTGTACCAGACCTGCTTATCAGAGGGGGCCGGCCCTGCTATGGACTCACTTTAAACAGCAGACACATGCCAGAGTGATTGTGTACTTGTGCCGCCACACGTACGGCAGAGGACCCGGTTCGGGGTCTTTTCAGTACAGATTTGATCTTTGGGGGTGTTTCTCAGTGTCAAGGCGCCTGGCCTTGCGAGGCGATGTCTTGCGCCGCGAGGCACCTTGCTTACGAGGACACTGTCCTTCCTCGGTCAAAGAAAACGGTTAAATGGAACGGACTTGCGTCACGTAACCGCAGCTTCCACGGCGGTCACATAACATCACGTGACACGGGAGATAACATCATATTTTATACGCATATGTTTATTAAATTAAAAATATAAGTGAGTTACTACCCGCTAGCCACCGAAGCTGCAACTACTAAGCAACTAGCCAACCATAGATAACTTCTTTGGATCCAAAAAAACATTTTAAATTAGTTGACTTACTTTTAAACTTGAAAATTGTCCCCGAAGTAGCTGCCGGCTTCTGATCCGCCGTCCTTTTGAAAATACCGCGGTGTATTGTGGGTAATTGTTGACCAAGGCTAGGCTACAAGACATCTCCCGTGTATCCCTGCTCAGCTAGCTAAACGGCTAACAAACGGAGAACACACGCCTCGGTAGAACATGAACATTGGAACACGTCTTGGCGGCTCCCGATGACGTATCTCCTAGGCAACCGGGGCGGGGCCAAGACATCAAGGCAAGGTTCCTTGACATTGAGGCCTAGTCCACACGTAGCCGGTTTTTTTTTTTTAAAACGAATATCCACCCCTCCAGAAACTTGCATCCACACCACCTCGTTAAAAACAAACTCTGTCCACACGTACCCGGATAAATACGTTGTTAAGGACATGCCAGACCTGTAGGCGGCAGTACTTCCCCCGTTCTTAACCTCGTCCTTCGTCTGTGGTCTTCCTCAAGGAGCAGTGATTCCGCTTGCAAAAACAAACAAGCAAAAAGCGCTTGGACAACTGATGAAGCGAGCGCAGCTCTGAGGGCATCCATGATGTCGGCTAGTGTAAACACAGGTCGCACACGTGATGTCAGCATTGTTTTTGTCGCGGAAAGTGACGTTGCGGACCTTAAAACTCCGGTTTTGTCTGTCCACACGCAGACACCCAAAACGGAGAAAACGCAGATCTTCACTTTGGCCGGAGTTTTTAAAAAGATCCGTTTTTGTGTGAAAAAACTCCGTTTTCGTGTGGATGACAGGCCAAAACGTAGAAAAATATCTACGTTTTGGCAGATCCCCGGCTACGTGTGGACAGAGCCTGAGAAACACCCTAAGACATTGCAGTTAAATGCTATTTAATGTGCATCTCACTGAATAAAAATACAAAATATGCATATTTTCTATTAGATTAACAGAACTTGTGTTCATGAAGCATGATATATAAGTAGTTACGTCACAAAAGGCATATGACAAATTCAGTGTCTCAGTTGGTTTACCCTAGTTTTAATCCGAGTTTTGGTCTCAAACTCCTCCCAAAGTTGTCCCACACGTTTTGCTCTTTCTGACGCATGAAAACTAAATTGTGGAGAAATTCAGACGTTCATAACAAATCCTTAATCATTTCAAGCAGAAACTTTTCCCGCAGATTTTCTAAGTATTTTTTGTTTTTCAGCAACATGACCGCGAGGCCCTGAACTTCCTCTAGGATATGGAAAAAATTTGAGACATTTCAGAATCTCCTCTGCAGTCGCTGCTTGGAATTTGATCCCAAACTGTCTCACAGTCCGATGAGAAACCAGCTTAATGGGAAATTTGTGTCATCATGAAGAGTTGTTTTGTCACAGTTATTTTATCTAAGAAAAGGACAGTTCCCACTGGTGATGTTCCCCAAAGTGGGCGGGGACAGGAAGAAGTCATCCGACCC